AGCCATGGGTTTGATCAAGTCAAATTTAAGACGGTAGATGGAGGTGAACATGCTCTTCGGGAAGCCTATGACATGACAGCTAGAAAAGAATCCAATTTCGCTTGGCAAGACGACTGTGGTGATATGAGAGAAGGTGGAGCACTGTTGCAGGTGGAGTCAAGTGGAAGAAGTTGCAGGGATAGCGGTGTCTCTTGTTTACGGTGAGCCTGGTGGAGGCTTGTCGGGGCGGCTCGGCGTGAGCGGCGAAAAAGGATCAACTCAAGTCCTAGTACACGGAAGTTCGAGCGAGTAACAGATTCAGGTTGGCATGGCATATTCGCCAAGGTGGAGTTTATTAGAGTTTGTGTCAAATATGTGTACGTAGTTGGTTACAGTTTAGAACTTAGAGTTGTAGTAGGTATAAGAATAGAGTATGAGTCGGACTCTATCCTAGGATCTCTCATAAATAGAGGGGCGTGCCTGTTGTAACTGCATGGCGACATAGCATAGCGAGAGGGAGCGGTTGCCGGCGACGACTGACCGTGAGTCGTTGTAACTCTGATACGCTGTAATATGCTGGATCGGGGAGGAGCACCTGTAATCAGTGCCCCGGAGATGTAGGCCTCAGCTGAACTCCGTTATCAAATACTGTGCCTCGGTGTCGTCATTGTTTTGGATCTCCTATGGCATTTTCTTCTGCGTTTAGCTACCGATGTCGATTTCGGGGCTGGTTTTATAACAATATATGATAGACCACTTCACAAAACTATAAGGTCAAATTTAACTTCTAATAATTATAATGAAAAAAATAAATTAAACTATGACTAGTTAACGTATATTCACAGTTGTCGACGTTTGATGTCGCGATTCCGGTATTTGCATAGTATGGGGATCGTTGGTACTAGGGTTTACGCGAGACTGAGGTAAAAGAGACGGAGACATGGATTTTTATACAGGTTCGGGCCCCTGAATTGTCAGGCAATAACCCTACATCCTGTTGGTCGAAGCCGGTCGTCGCTTTTATTCATCATAATCACACCAGTACAATATTTGGGGTAGCCTATCTAACTATTGTCGATATGGCGGTCTGTAGTTCTGACTCGTAGTCGACAACAGGGTAGTCTTCCTCCTCGAATCCGTGCCCGGCGAGATCAGAAATAGCGCAATGTCTCTCCTATCAGCATCCGGAGACACCGTAGGGGACTAGCCGTGCCTATCTCTGAAGTCGATATCCGGCGTCTTGTCTTGGCGTATGTTGGCTTGTATTGGCTTGTGGCGTCTATGTTGTCTGTGTCCCCTCTCCTCCTAGGGGGCCTTGTATTTATACCCATAGGTGTCCCCTTGTCCAAGTAGAACTAGGGAAACCAATATGGATACAATCCGAGTAGTCCTTGTCGTTTCCATGTAGAACTCTAGTTGTCTTTCCTTATTCGGAACTCCTCCTATATCTGCAGGTTGTTTCCATATAGGACATGGTATGTGGTGGGTCTTGCCGAGATTTAGTCAACTACTATTAGGTATGTGGTATTCATAACCCTGATAGTAGCCCCCGACTTCAATGCAAATGAACGGATTCATATTCTCAACCGCGCGCAGACTTTGGAGTAACTGTTATCGAGCTCATGTGACCGTTCTTGGTGAGTTCAGAGATAACGTTATACTTCCTTTATCAGCCTCGTGCGGGCACCTAAAGGGTTTGTCTGAGTCAATCTCCGACATCAACCAAGAAAGTACAGAGCATATGACTAAGTCTCCCGTCTTGCTGTAATCGAGAATTTGGATTGAAGTCAAGAAATTTTATCTCGGCGAGTACACCATCTCTTCATTCCGCATTCATTGTCGAGATCCACCAATCGTTCTCGAGTAATCGAGTAGGCGTAGAGTCTGCGACGGAGCCTTGTCAACATTTGTCATACTCGCCTTAGTCGATCTTCGTGTAGAACCATAGAGACATGAAGTCTTCGACAATGTCGAATAGAATTTTCCTGAAATCAATACTCAGAAAAGAATATAAGATAGAAATAGCCCCCGAGCGAGTGCTCAAAGGGTAACATGTTATAATATGTATGGAAAACCGAAAATGAATCAAACTTATAGACCAATGTTTTGTATATGAGAGTCTACTCTTTTACCGACTTCGATCAGTCAGTTTGTTGAGTTATACACTCTCTCTAGCCCCCAGCCTTGTCGTCGGAGAATCGTTCTCGAAAGATAAGACTCTTGGACCTTTGACCTGCCTCGGTTGAACAAGCACTGATCCTAGCCCCCAGCCGTGAAGTTGGAAAACCCAATTTCCTATTACACGGCTTGGTTAATACGCACGACGAGAACTCTTACACGACCAGATCTTACATGGTCTTTCGTCTCTGAAGGATCCGACAAAGCCTTATCCGCTCTGGGCGTCCCCAGCCGAAGTTCCCTTAGGTTCCTCAGAGGCTTTGTCAAGACGGCGTAAAGAGACATTAGGATAGGTTTCAACGCTAGGTGTCTTTTGTGGTAAGGGATCTCTAGGTAAAACACTTGGCGATATTGTGTACCTGATATCAACTTTGTTGAAGTAGAGGTAATGGGAGAATCGCTACACCTCTGGTCAAGAACCAGGTAGTAGTCGTAACTCAACCACTAGAAGTAATGTACGAGAGATCGCTACAATTGACTGGTTGAGGACCAGTGAGTAGGTGTCTCTCGATCATTTGAAGTCGTGGTGCGAGGACCGTTGTGTTATTGCTGTAGTTGTACCTCGACCATCTGAGGTTGCGGTGCGGGAGATTGCTACATATTGGTTCGAGGACCAGCGAACGAGTAGAATCATCTCTCGCACACCAATGGAGGTTGCGGTGCGGGAGATTGCTACGTACTGGTTTGAGAACCAGCGAGCGAGTAGAATCATCTCTCGAACACCAATGGAGGTTGCGGTGCGGGAGATTGCTACGTACTGGTTCGAGAATCAGCGAGCGAGTAGAATCATCTCTCGAACACCAATGGGGGTTGTGGTGTGGGAGATTGCTACGTACTGGTTCGAGAACCAGCGAGCGAGTAGAATCATCTCTCGGACACCAATGGAGGTTATGGTGTGGGAGATTGCTACGTACTAGTTCGAGAACCAGCAAGTGAGTAAATCATCTCTCGAACACCAATGGAGGTGCTAGAGTTGGTTTATTACATGTGCGTCTCATGTGGCTAGCATGACTCACACACCCAACTTGTAGTATATCCGGATGTTCGTTCGCAATCATGTCGGGTGATCAAGCCGACGGCGTTTGCGAGGAATTATCCATTAACAACCTTTTCTCGAGTAGTCCAGCCATGGCCGGTGCTATGAGATAGGTCGTCGGTCTTCGTTGGTAGGTTGGACGCGATGACTCTGCATTCGTCAAGATCATTCTCGATAATGCGGTGTACTTGACCACAACCTACTCGAGTGCTCAATTGTTCCTGAAAAATATTTTCTAGAAGACAAGACATATAGCAGATAATATCGAGTATGTACTAAAAAACTGCATGGATCTTCTAACATTATCAGGACATAACGAGCAGATGTAAATATCAGGCATTATGTAGACCGTAAACAAGCATGACTTATGCGGAAGAAAATAGAGCGAGCCCCCAGCGTTAGATCGTAGTCGATTTAACATCGGGGACACTCGCGCAATAGATATTGTATAAAAAACATGCTCTAGATAAACATAATAAATTATTGGTCTGACAATATCTGAAAATAGGTACGGTAAATTGTGTATAAAATATTGCGTACCTTTGTAGATACATGCAGGATGTATCTACGGAATTAGTAGATTAATTTAAAAAAATCAATCTGCTAATTACCTTAGCGGGGTATTGATGGACATAAGAGTACTGGTAGCTGCTCGTGCATCAGTACTCAATTTGTATCCACGTATGCATGTTTGCTATTGCACAGGGACACAGTTTGGTGATGTATCCTACGTGTACACATGTGAATTGGTCTGGTTAATACCGATTCAGATTGGACACGTGGGAAAACATGTGTAGATCGATCCAAGCTCCTCGCTCTGTTGCCGAGTTGGGTCCACCACTCCGTTATTCCATCCTCGGGCATAAGCCGGTGAAAACACGCGACCGACAATCTGATGTCTACGCGGCGGAATTTGGATTGTTGATGGCGATAATCTCGATCTAGTCGGAAGACATACTCCGGTCGGCTTTGATCTCCCCCCAATCGAAGTCGTCGAGTAGTTTGTTGTTGGAGAATCCATCTCTTGAACCCATATCGTCGAAATCCTGAAGCAGCAAAGTCCCCTACCTGGCGCGCCACTGTCTACGTGTGATGTCGCGATTCCAGTATTTGCATAGTATGGGATCGTTGGTACTACGGTTTATGCGAGACTGAGGTAAAAGAGACGGAGACAGGGATTTTTATATAGGTTCAGGCCCCTGAATTATCAGGTAATAACCCTACATCCTGTTGGCCGAAGCCGGTCATTACTTTTATTCATCATAATCACACCAGTACAATATTTGGGGTAGCCTATCTAACTGTTGTCGATATAGCGGTCTGTAGTTCTGACTCGTAGTCGACAACAGGGTAGTCTTCCTCCTCGAATCCGTGTCTGGCGAGATCAGAAATAGCGCAATCTCTCTCCTATCAGTATCCAGAGACACCGTAGAGGACTAGCCGTGCCTATCTCTGAAGTCGATATCTGGCGTCTTGTCTTAGCGTATGTTGGCTTGTATTGGCTTGTGGCGTCTATGTTGTCTGTGTCCCCTCTCCTCTTAGGGGGTCTTGTATTTATACCCATAGGTTCCCCTTGTCCAAGTAGAACTAGAGAAACCAATATGAATACAATCTGAATAGTCCTTGTCGTTTCCATGTAGAACTCTGGTTGTCTTTTCTTATCCGGAACTCCTCCTCTATCCGCAGTTTGTTTCCGTATAGGACATGGTATGTGGTGGGTCCTGCCGAGATTTAGTCAACTAATGTGGTATCCATAACCCTGACAACAGTTAAATTTACTTTTTCGTTGCAACTTGTAGAAGTTAAATTTAAACTTGTGTAGTGATTTATCACATATTAGTCTATATTTTTATTTTTATTTTTTATAACCATTTAAATGTCATGTAAATAACGGGACAGTATCCTCTCAAGTTTAAAATAATCTCCCATTCAATTTGCTATAACATCCCCGCGTTCATGATCCATCTTCTTGTCGCCCTCCTGATGGGAGCTAACCGTGGTGGGCACCATCTCGTATTCACCAAACCTCCTGCCCCTCACGAAGAAGGCACCTCCAAGCCGCTGCTGCAAGAACAGCAGCAGCGCCAGCGACGCCGCCCCCAACGGCACGGCGACGTCCCACGCGACGCCGAAGAGATCGTCGCGTGGGCTCGCGTACACGTAAGTCGACGACGGCCTCACGCTCGGCACGTAGCCGCGAGCCCTCAGCGCGTCGTACACGTGAGGCGCCGCGCGGAGCACGGTCACCCCGACGTAGAACCACGCCGAGATGGCCCTCGCCCTGGACCGGGACAACGCGTTCAGGATCACCTGCGGCAGGAGGAACCCGTCCAGGACCAGCCCCGCGTACGACGCGAGGTCGTCCCACAGCGTGCCCGAATCGCCCGCGACACGGACGACCAGCGAGTTCTCCGCTGCAGCACGGCCATTGTTGATGACGTGAACTGCCCCGGCGAGGAGGCCGCCGAGCAGGTACAACGGCAGGCAGATCCACAGCGATCTCCTCTCGGCGGCCGACCATTTCTCGGCTATGGCGCGGGGGGCCGATCGCCGGCTGGACCACACCAGCTGGAGGAGGCAGAGGTGCAGCGCGAAGGCGATCAGCGTGGGCACACGCAGCATCACCTCGTTCAGCTCGAGCCACCCATCGGCGGAAATCGGGATGTAGTGCGTCCTCCTGCTGACGAACAGGGCGTCGACGTTGAGCGCGAGGTGGGTCACGTGGCCCAGGGCCAGGACGGCGAGCATGGCGACCGACGTGGCGGACGGAGCCGACGCGGGGTTCGCCCTGGCGTGGCGGATCTGCAGCGCGGCGAAGACGCACGACAGCGTCGCGGAGACCACCGCCATGATGATCTCCAGGTCCATCCTCCAGATCGACTCGCCGATCTGCTCCCTGTACATCCCGTACAAGGTGATGTCCATCGCTTCGAAGTGGAGACGATCTGCCTTGTCTCTCGTGCTACTGATCTTCCCCCTGCCGTGACCATTCCCCTTGGCATCCAAAGAGGCAAAATGAACTGTTACCAGTATTTGACAGTCAGTGGAGGAGCCATTGATCTCTTGGCAGCCGACCATGAACAGGATTCCTGTCTTTGGATCGTACACTCCTTCGGCTGAAATTTCTCGACGCTCAATTGACAGGGGATGTGAAAATAATGATGAACTGTTCTTACGTGCTTTCGAATTTGCAGATCGGACACGATAGCTTATATCGTAGCTGACATTCAGCAGCTGGGAATGATCCATCCTGACCACTGTTGTCCGGCTCTTGTTCATCTCTCCCATGGCATGTCGGAAGAACATGTATTCTGCTGCCAGCTGATCGCCGTCGACCATCACCGACCCGATGGTCACCGGAGACGCTTGTCCTCCAGCGCCCAGGGTTTCGATGAAGTCGAATCTGAAGTCGCTGTACGAGTACATGCTGCTGTTGCCTGGGAACCGTCCTGTCTTCCTCTTGCTGAACTTGCAGCTGAGATACTGTTTCTTCGCCTTCTCAACCATCGTGTAGTTGTATTTGACGTCGGTGAGGTTGCTACGCCTACGGTTGTACCCGTCGCCGTCGATGCTTGACACCGACATCACGCCGGAGAGCGAAGCACCGGCGTGCTTGTTACCGCCGCTCTCCTCCTGGTTCGCGTTCCAGAGCAGCCCGGCCACGATGCTCCGGTCCCGGATCGTCCACACGGCCGGGAACCAGAAGCTCATCCCGAGGCCGCACTGCTCGCCCACCTTCAGCTCCGTCTCTGCCGCCGACGAGTGCGCCACCCGGCACGCCCTGAGGCAGAGCCGGCTCGTCGTCGAGTCCCAGTACCCGTCGGCGACGACGGCCTCCTCCTTGACCAAGAAGCGGTTATTGATGACCATGTCGCGCCGCCACCGTCTCTCTGAGTCCGTGTAGTTGGAGAAGACGACGTAGGCGCGCACCGAGCCGTTCGCGGTGCAGTGCATCTGGTTGACGAGCATGCGAAGCCCGCCATGGCTCAGCGGGAACTGGAAGGTGCTTGCTGCAGGCGAGGAGGCGTCGCTGCTCGTGTTCTCCAACCTGTAGGAGCTCACGAAAAGCTCCCTGAGGTGGCTGCACGAGAAGTTGGCCTCGAGCGCCTGGAGCGCGCCCCGCGCGGCGTGCGCCGGCATGGGCGGCGGGCAAGACGGTCTCTTCTCACTGTACACGTAGCGGTCGTTCTCGACGTACGCGACGAGGGATATGGTCTCGAAGTCGGCGCCGTCGAGGAGGCCGGTGACGAACGGGTCGGCGAGGCTGGGAGCGTTCGGGACGCGGAGGTGGAGGTTGACGTCCCGGAGGTGTTCGACGGAGCCGCCATCGACGGAGTAGCTGCCAGAGCCGCCGACAACGCAAAGTTCGCCGGAAGCGGAGCTGTAGTATCCATGGAGGACGAAAGATGCGACCAGCTGACTCACCAAGTAGCGATGGCGCCGTCGGCGGGCGCCGCCGCCGCTGCCATGGTCGCTGGATGGCCCGTAAAGGGCAAGCGTGGCAGCGACCTCGAGGATGGCCGGATCGGTGGTGTGAGCAACCTTATACGGTGACAAGGCGAACGAGCGTGGGATATAGGCCGAGTCGTCGTCGGGAGCGAAGAGACGGTCGCCGCCGGAGAAGTAGCCCGTCGTGATCTGAAAGGAGCGGAGGAGTTCGCGCGCGTCGTTTCCTTCCGGTACCTCATTGGGTACAGGGGAGGGGTTGGAGCAACGGAAGGTGGACGCCGCGGCGGCGGTGGCGGGGAAGACGATAACGGAGAGGAGCACGAGCTGGAGGAGGAGGAAGGAGACGTGGCAGCAAGGGCGAGGGGACTTCTTGGCCGGTGCCATTGTTGTGTGATGCGCCGGAGATGAGGACTAGGAGGACGACGGAGGCATGAAGATGAAGGGCGACGGCGAAGAAGCAGAGTGCACTGTGCACCACAGAAGCTATGGTGCGAGTGCGACAGGACCAGATATTCTCAGACGATGGTTCACTGCCGTGAGTTTTACTACTAACCTCTGATTTAATGCATTATGTCGTTGACAGTTTAGTTATATTTAATCATTTATCGGTAGCGCTATTCCGAGCGCTTGAGCGCGGGATATTGTTCCGAGCACCGCACATCGCGCCCAGAGTCCGCAAAAACTAGTGTTCGGTTGCCCACGTTCGATCTGTGTAGATTAGATCTATTTGAATTTGGGGTAAATCAATTACAGATCCGTAAAATCGGTGGTCGGTTGAAAATAATCATTGTAATTGGTTTATCTCTGTTTCTAATCGATGTAGTTACGATATGGTGTGCAACAAACTGAGACCAAATCTTGTAGTAATCGAATTACTGTCGATGTAAATGAAAATTGATGGTGCATATGCCTGTAGTAATTGGATTAACGACAACCATGCTTGGTGAAATCTTGTAGTAATCGAGTTACTATCGGCATAAATAAAAATTGATGGTGCATGTGCTTGTAGTAGTTGGATTATGAACAACATTGGTTGATCAAATCTTGTAGTATTCGTATTACTGTCGATGTAAATGAAAATTGATGGAGCATTAACTTATAGTAATTGCATTATTGCTAGCCTTGGTTGATGATTTCTTACAGTGAATGCATCAAGCAAGAAAAAAAGGAAAATAAATAAGGAGGGAGTTACTGGGCCTAATTAGTTTACCTCAAACAATACGTGAATAAATTTTTTACTTATACATTGAATCACTCAATCCTAAATCACAGGACAAAAAATAAAGATTTTACATGCACATCATAGTAAAAGCACAAGAATAAAAATTTTACACACAAACACAACAATACACGCTATGGCCAGTTCCTTGTGACGGCTGAATGGAGTTTTTGTTCTGCTAGAGAGAGCAAGAAGACAAAGCAGCGGAGATGTAGGCTGGAGCCGAGGCAGCATCAAGTCTGCCCGCTGCGACCTCAGTAGGAGCCGGATCCAGCGACGGAGCCAAAGATGGAGGTCGTCGTTGCTGTTGTCACCATCTCACTGTCATAAACTAGGCAACGACAGATGTGATGAAACAAATCACAATTTCTTGCCGATGTTACCAAATCGACTGACTATGATAAATAGGATCTCCGCCATGCAAGGGAGAATAGAGAAGCACGCCAAGATGAGTGCTCAACTCAATCGAAGTCAGACGGCATAGAATCAAGAAGGAGAAAGAATTTAATTAATCATAGATTGTATACAATTTTTGCAAGAAACCAAGAATCTCATTAGGAATTGCTGAGAGAACTTACCGTCCCCACGACGTCCACCTCGTTCTCCATGGGCCAGACGTCTCTTCAGCATCGATCTGAAGCAGATGCTGCGGCAGCGAGACCTGAAGCAGTGCCTTCGCCTCAAGCTCCGCTGGCCACCGCTCGCCGGCCACCGCCATCAACCACCACGGTGTCGTCCTCCTCCTCCATGGTGCGTTGCCAATCTATGGGCTGGGATGGTGGATCGATTCAGATCCGGAAAAAAAAGGAAAAAAATGAAGTGGGGGCGAGAGTGGTTGGTTAGGTACGGGAAAAATAGAATATATACCAGAAGTAGAGAAGTTGTTTTTATCGAAGTAAATCGTTTACTCCGATAATGGTGGGAGCACGATGCCGGACGTGGGGTGGGATTGAAAGGGAAGTTGTTTTTATTATCGAAGTAAATCGTTTACTCCGATAACGGTAGGAGTGGGATGATGGGACGTGGGGTGGGATCGTAACCAGAGAAGCTGTTTTTATCTAAGTAAATCGTTTACTCCGATAACGGTGGGAGCGAGATGATGGAACGTGGGGTGAGGTGGGCCTGGCTGATACACGTTTCGCGCTTGGAGCTCCCAATAGTAATTCTAATCATTTATCCTATTAAAAAAATAAAAATATTATTTATTTTGTTGTAATTTATTTTTTCAGAGAAGAAACTATAATCATTATTTATACTTCAACATATTCATATTAAATTTCTGAATAAGAATAATATTCAAATGTTATTAAAAAAAACTACGTCATACATTAAAAACTATTATTTTTTTGAAGGGAACTATGCATCGGGCGGCCGATTCATGTGTGAAAAATCGAATGCTCAAATATGGCTCCATGCAGTTGCAGCGTGCTCCTATGCATTTTGGAGGGACGTCTGCTACTGCTTTCTACTCCCTCCGTCACATTTTAAGTGTAACCATAAGTTTTCTGTGTCCAATTTTAATCGTCCGTCTTATTTGAAATTTTTTATAATTAGTATTTTTATTGTTATGAGATGATAAAATATTAATAGTACTTTATACGTAATATGTTTTTAAATTTTTCAAAAAAAATTTAAATAAGATGGACGGTTAAAGTTGTGCATGAAAAAATCATGGTTACATTTAAAATAGGACGAAGGGAGTATATTTGATGTGGAATGCCCTCTCTCCTCTCCATGACTACTTTATATAAATATACTTCTTTTTACCAAACATTAAATATTTTTTTTGCTAAATTATCTATCCGTTCTTTGATCCAATTATACGGTTGTATTTCTTACAATTAAATCACAAGATCTTACATGCTTATATTTCTCTGAAAAAAATTAAGTTGTTTCATCACCTATAAAAAATTGTTTCATTACTTGCTCATTATATGTTTCAGATCATATATAACATGTTTCAGATAGATGCGATATTAAGAAAATATTGATTGTAATACTAATGACCACTACACGAAACATTAAGTACTAATGAGTTAAACATAAAAAACTCACATGAAACATACTATATATTTACATATACTTAATTATCTTAAAACATATTCTATACCATGCATATATTATAACCGTTGAAACATAATAAAATATTTACTGAAACATCCAAAAGAATACAACATGTGCAAATATCCCAGTGAAACATGAAGAAATACTTACCGAAACATGTAAAGAATATAGTGTGCAATATAAAACTAAATCCATTGCAATAAAAATAAAATAAATATCAAAATATAATCGTACAAGATCTTACTGTAAAGATTTAATTGTAATAAATAATATGGCTAAATTAGATTTTAAATTAGATGAATAGTTTAGAAGAAAATATATTTTAAAGTTTGATGAGATACCTAATACTACTGGACAGGAAGGAGAGGAGAAGGGGGGGGGGGGGGGGGAGCATATGCGCAATAGCAGTAGAATGGAGAGAAAGCCTAATAAGCGACGGAGGCAGTGTGTGCAGGGAGTATGCACGCGAACACGGAGGGCACCCGTTATTTTCTAAGCTGTATCGGTTGTCCAATCCAAGAGTATTTCACTTATTTTCAGTGCGCACTAAATTTTACTGTTTTTCAGCCACCCACTTTGGTCCGGGGAGGTTTTCCATTAGACCCTTATCCACGCTGTTTGACTTGCTTGTCTGGAGTTGAAGACTTGGTGAATGGGACAGTGGATGATGGATTTTGGTGGAAGAAAATGCATGATTTAAAATCTCTTAATTCTTTTATGTGATTTTTCGTATAGTTTTAGACTAGTGCTTATTTTCTAAAAGTAAACATTTGTTTGAAAGTAATTTTATGTGCAACTAGATTAAAGTTTATTAGCATGTTTATGAAATAATTTTTACATTTTTGGTTATCGAACCATTTTATGGCTATGATGGTTAAGTTACGGATGATATGTCGTAGGAAAATAACAAAGAAATTAAAAAAAATTAGAGGTAGAATCTACTCTTGGTAGTTTAAAAGTCAGGTGGAAAATAATGTCGTAGAAAAATAACAAAGCAATTAAAAATAGTCTATAGGTAGAACTTATTGTCAGTAGTTTAAAAGTTAAAGGTGTAAAATAAAATATGATGTAAATATCCCAAAAAATTCGACTGTAAATTTAAATTCTGGCTACAGCCTACAGCTATACACGAACAAGCAAACAAGGACTAACACCTTCTACGTCACTATACGAAATTGAACTGAATATTCATGACGCAAGGCAAGTCAACAGCAGTCTTGGGGATATTGAGAGGAAGGCTGCATGGATTTATCTATCTGGTCCAACTATCTATCCAAACGCATGCGTACTCTTCAAAGTAAACGTCAACCATTTCAGTTTTTGTGAAGCTGCTAGCTAAGCTAGCCCACTAGTTAAAGCTAAATCTACTAAATTCTCAAGCGTAAAATGATCCACTTGCCAAAGAAGATCCGCGTGCGACATGGTGAAGCAGATAGACGGCGACATGCCGTGCCAATGCCGGTTTGGACTGAGCAGGTCCTCCGATCCTTGACCATTTGGTTGGGGTGAGAAAAACTGAAAAATGTGTACACCAGCTGAGAGGCATCTTCGGGAGACGCACACAAAGACCACATCCGACCGACGTGTTATTAGTCCGTCCCTTGCTATGTTAATACGTTTGTATTCCCGTCTGTTTTGGACAGAAAATTATATTCTTGGTCTTGCATGGCCCTTCAAAATTCCATAACAAGAAAGGAAAAATTATTCAAGCTCACCTGACTTGAACTTATCCACAAGTCATTATATTTATATTTTCAATATTAATTTCACAGACGAAAACATTAACAATTAACAATTCCAAACTATTGATTACAATATCAGTCTATCTATAATATGGAAATACATAATTTCTAAATAAATTATATAGTAGAGACCATTTCATAGGAGCCCAACCTGCTCCCTTGCAATGAAATCAAGGATGCACCTCCAAGCCTTTGTTGCAAGAATAACACCAATGCTAGCAAAGCTGCTCCCAACGGAATAATGACGTCCCATGCTGCACTGAACAGATCATCATGAGAGTTTGCATATATATAAGATGACCTCAAGCTCGGTATATAGTTTTGAGCCCTGGATAAATCATAGACATGGGGCATGGCACGGATCAAGGTGCCTCCAATGTAAAACCATGGTGAAATTGCTTGAACTCTAGAGCCAGACAATCTATTGAAGATAATCTGAGGGAGTAGGAAGCCATCTAGTATCAATCCTGCATATGACACGAGGTCCTCCCATATGGTAGCCGGCTCTTGGCTGATGCGAACAACTACTGGGCTCTCCCTTCTAGTGTGAACATTTATAATATGGATGATCCCAGCTAGGATTCCTCCAAGAAAGTAAAGTGATAAGCATATTTGCAATGCTTTCCTCTTGGCAATAGAAAATGTCTCAGCTTTGCTCTGGTGGTCTGGTTTTCGGCCATACCAAACCAGCTGAAGAAGCCGCAGATGTAACACAAAGGCGATCAAAGTAGGAACCCTTAGCATCACTTCGTTCAACTCAACCCGGTTGTTCCTAAAGAATGGAACATATTGCTTTCTTCTGCTCAAGAACAAAGCCTCAAAGTTGAGCACAAGAGGGGTTAAGTACCCCAAGGCTAGAGTGATAAGCATGGTGATTGATGTGGCTGGGGGCACCTCAGGGTTCTTCTTGGTGTGGAGAATCTGCAAAATGGTGAAGACACAAGACAATGTTGTTGATAGCACTAGCATGATGCTTTCCATGTCCATCCTCGATATTGCCTCAAAGAGCTGCTCTGTGTACATCCCGTATAAAGTGATATCGATCTTCTCAAAGAAAAGACGGTCATTCTTTTCTCTCAAGCTACTGATTGCTCCCACTCCATGCCCCTGCGTCTTTGCATCAAGAGAAGAAAATTGCACAGTTATCAAAACTAGACAATCTGTCGAACTATTTATCTCTCGGCAACCGATCATGCACAAGGTACCCCTCTTACGATCATATATACCCTCTGCTGAGATTCGCCGTTCATGAAGACTAATGGAGTATGATCCATTCTTAGGTCGAATCCAATTTTCCGGCGGGGCATAATAACGTATATCATAGCTGACATTCAACAGCTCATGCTTCATGCCAACCACCATAGGGTCGGATAAAGAATCATTAGCTGCTAGCCTATCCTCATAAACCATCATTGACCCAATAGTCATAGGATAGGCATCTCCAGATCCAACATGGTTCGCAATGAAACGGAACTCTAAGTCATGGTAAGAGTAGGTACCGTTGCCAGGAAATGACCCCTTGATCTTTTTCTTCTTGTTGCTCAAACCCGAACTGATGTAGTGCTTCTTTGCCTCATCAACCACAGTGTAAGTGTACTTCACATGAGAGATATTTTCCCAGTGCTCTTGGATACCCGACACTGATATAATACCGGGGATTGCTCGAGAGTTGTTAACAATCCCTTGGCTTGAGTTCCAAAGCATTCCAGCAATGACACTCCTATCACGGATTGTCCACACATCCACAAACCTGAAGCTCATCTTGATCTTACAGTCCTGCACCACAAAATTTGTATGGGACAACCCAGACACCGAGCGCACAATTGGACAAGCATTAAAGCAGAGTTGACCTGTTGTTGGGTCCCAATACCCATCAGCAACAAGTGCCTCCTCTACAACCATGAAACGACCCTTGTATGGTAACATTTTTGTGTCGTTGTAGAACTCCACATAAGCGCGCACTGCTCCATTCGCAGTGCAGTGCACGTGGTTGATGTACATTCTAGTGGCGTGCGACCACATATTGTAGCCTCTTGGTGCCAAGGGGTCATCAACCATGTATTCCAGCTTATACAACCTTCTAAGATGTGTCTTGAGCTGGTCACAATTGAAGTTTTCTTTGACTGCCTGAGCCTGTTCAAGCATACTATTCTCCAACATGAATGGTGGGCAGAGGGCATTCTCACTATACACATAGTTGTCGCTTTCGTCGTAAGCAACAAGCGAGATGGTCTCAAAGTTGGTGCCCTCGAGGTGACCGGTAACTAAGGGGTTGGTGAGCTTGGAAGGTCGAGGAACCCATAGGCGAAGGACAGAATCCTCATGTAGTTTTATAGAGCCATCTGCAGCATAGTTAGTGCCGAAGCCAACCATGCAAAGATCATTGGAGGTGAAAGAATAATAACCATCAAGGATAAACGAGATGGTTTGGGTGATAGAGTAACGATGGTGGTGATGGCCGATGTAAGTGCTGCTACGAGGGCCAGAGAGTACAAGGGTCGCAGTTAGGTGGATGATAGTTGGGTCCTTGGTGCGGAAAACACCATGGGGAACAAAGGAGAACGAGCGGGGATTGACGTAGTCATCATCAGCAGAGAATAAGCTATTGCCTCCGCTAGAGAAGTAGCCGATGGATATCTGGAAGGAGCGGAGGAGTGCAAGGGTGTCGACATAGTCAGTATGGTAGTCGGATGCAGGGGACGGGGAGGAGCAACGAGAAGAGTAGGAGGTGGAAATAGCCACAGATAGAGTGGTGGTGGAAAGGATGAAGATGAAGCAAAGGGGATAAGCATAAGAGATGGTATTCTTGGATGGTGCCATTTGTGTTTGCTGGGAAGAAAGGTGTGGTCTTGTGGTATTTATCACCGCCCTTGGCACGGATGATCATGATAGGATCAACTTGCAAGATCGAGGCTGAACAGGTCCGATCAGTCTTACAGTCCACCACATAGGATGCTAGTTTGTCACTTATAGCTACTAGTATAACGCATGTCATTTTCACCATGATAGCCACCCATTCTGCATGAAGTTTCCTACTCAATCTTTTTTACTGGAGTAGTATCGATTACTTGACCTAGTTGTCGCACTAACGGGCTACGGGCCAAAATAAAAACAAAAACTACTACAAAATGCAAATGGATTGTCATGATATATTTTGACGGTGTGAAGTCATCATCATTCTGTTGAAATGACAAAAGCCGTAAAATTCGCCGAGACGTACTAAGACCTGGTTTAGTTACCCAATTTTTTTTTCCAAACATCACATCGAATCTTTGTACATATACATGGAGCATTAAATATAGATTAAAAGAAAAACTAATTGCACAGTTAGGGAGAAAATCGCAAGATGAATCTTTTGAGCCTAATTAGTCCATGATTAGCCATAAGTGCTACAGTAACCCACATGTGCTAATAACGAATTAATTAGGCTCAAAAGATTCGTCTCGCAGTTTCCAGGCGAGTTATGAAAATAGTTTTTTCATTCATGTCCGAAAATCCCTTTCGACATCTGATCAAACATCCGATGTGACACCTATTTTTTTTTAACTAAACAGGCCCTAATCTCGCAGAGCAGATAATAAGTCCGAGGTAAAATTGCTTAACTACTCGTTTGCAGACAATTCATAAGCACTACATAACCTGATGCATGGCTAACAGTGTCCGGTGAATATTAAAGACGGAATAATCAGCCCGCGATAGAAATTCCATCCGGAAATGTAAAGAATTAGTGCAAGTGCCCATATATATATATGGACGAGCTTTGCTTAGCTTTCGAAGTAAACCGCCAGTGTATCCCGCTTGACCTGCTACCTTGATGTGAGGTCATCTGCGTGTCTAATCCCCGCATTATTGGACAACGACGGGACGAGGGTGGACCGTAGAAAAACTGAGGCAAGCGCGTCGCGGTCGCGCCATGAGCGAAACTCATCGCCAAGGTTTGGAGACGCGACGTACTCCGGTGCCTGCGTTCCGATCAAAATAGTGTTCCCTGCCTGCGTGCGGAGCGCCTCCATGCACGTTTATCACCCACAGGCCAAATGAACCAAAAGCTATAAAACACGACCTGAAACGTACGTGACCAACCGCTTCGCCTCACGCGCGGGCGCGCGGCGAGCAATCACGTTGGTCGGTATCTTTGAAATTGAATTTAAAAATATGCTGTTCGTTTATTTATTTTTCTTAGAAACTAGCATGGTGGCCCGCGCAGATTGCGCGGCTAGCATCATTATATTTTTTTCTCATATAATAGCATATATGTTTTCTCATTATATTATTTAAATATATTAAAATGACATCATAATTTTAAATTTTGCAATAACTTTACGAAACTACAAATGTGTAATATTCATATTGTATTTTATATACGTGTTAGTTATTAATTATTTTTAATATCAAATTTTAGTTATTTGCAAATTATATATATTCCTATATGAACTCTAGATTCGTCTTTTAATATTTTTTTTAATTTCGAATTTTCTGTAAATTGTGTTTCTATATATACTCTAGGCTCTTCTTCCAATATTATTTATTTTTATCTTTGAATTTTTATTATTTTTAATTGTATTTCTATGTGGACACTAAACTCATCTTTCAATATTCTTTAATTTTTAATTTCGAATTTCAGTTACTTCTAAATTGTATTCCTATATTGACTTTAAACTCTTCTTCCCATGTTTTTCTTAATTTTGAATTTTAGTTATTTGTAAATTGTATTTTTATACGGACTCAAAACTCTACTTTTAATTTTATTATGTTTATTCCGAATTTTAGTTAGTTTTAAATTCCTATATGGACTCTATACTCTACTTCTAATATTCCTTATTTTTTAATTCCTAATTTCTTTTTTTTTAATTATATTTCTATATGGACTCTATAATCTACTTCTAATATTCCCTATTTTTAATTCCGAATTTCTATTATTTCCTAATGTATTTCTATATGGACTCTATACTCTACTTCTAATATTCCTTATTTTTAATTCCGAATTTTAGTTATTTTCTAATTGTATTTCTATATGGACTCTAGTCTCCTCTTCTAATATTTCTTATTTTTTTAATTCCGAATTTAAACTATTTCTAAATTATATTTCTATATGGACTCTAGTCTCCTCTTCTAATATTACTTATTTTTTAATTCCGAATTTCAGCTATTTCTAAATTGTATTTCTATATGAACTCTGCCTTTTCTTTTTCTCTAATTAATGTGAGAATTTTTAGGCCATGAGAGCGAACGTGGAGGCTCCTTTTTCTATTCCTTTAATAATATAATAGATAGATATTTAGGATGTAATTTTTTTAGCAAAAATATACCCTTCGATATCGCTAAACTATTGCGCGAGAATAATAGAGCATGATGACGCGGACCATCTTAAGTGGCAACGGCACGAGACCGAGAGCTCACACACAACAACCACACGGAGACCGAACACTGCAGGTCAATTCAAATTGATTAATTATCTGATTAATGATTAATTAATTATTAATTAATTGCTAATAATTAGATAATTAAATTATTACTCCGTATTAATTAATCGCTGTTTTTTTTAAAGGAATCAGCACGAGAGTGTGCTATTTCATTAAAAATAGTACAATCCCTGGGGGTAAAGAAAAGAGAGGAAAATTGTACAAAACTAAAAAGGCCTACACAGTTCGAAAGAAAATCCCGTAGCCTCCTTGCTCCCGTCATGGTCCAAGCCTCTTCTTTTTTTTTGCCATAAGACTAGAGGCCACAGTCTCATTGTTTTCGAAAAACTCGTTGATTTCTTTCCTTTTAGATCTCCCATACTATTAAAAGAATTAGAGTCCGTAGCCTTTCTTGGGCACCTTCTTTGTGTTGGCTAGCATTTCCCACCAATTAATTTGGACGCGCTGGCATGGAGCTCAGTGGCACAGGTCCAGCTGTTGGTAAGCCACCTAGGCGGCATTCAGGCTCCAAATCCTTCTGGAATATCTACAATGGACAAGAAGGTGGCTTGCTAACTCGCTTGCCATGCGACAGAGGGACACGCCCCGCTGTTTTGCCATCCTCTGGCTGCTAGTCGGTCTGAAGTCCACACCTGTTTTGGATCACAAGGCACATGTAGAATTTACATTTTGGTGGGGCCCAAGCTCTCTAAAATAAGGCGTTGAAGTTGGTACTGGTGATTCCCAGGTATTGTGCTTTGTATGCCGACGAAGCCGAGTATTCTCCATGATTTGAAAGCTTACAGGTGATTTGGCCGGGCTCGCTTTGATTGAGAAGAATGTCCTAGGTTGCTTCCGAGAGGGAGACGAGCTAGCTAATCAGGTCCACAGTGGGGAGGGGTTTTGCCGTTAAGGTCTAGTCTAGGTCATCGATTCAAGAGTCGTTCCCAATGCCTTCCCTTAGTGTTTTTCCTCTTTTTTTGATATCGCATTGACTAGTCGCATGGCCTTTGTCCCTCCAACCAGGCAGAGTCCTAGAATTGAATCATGTTCTTAATCGTTGTTTTAGCCACTGTCGCTATTGTTGTTTTGGTGATGTCGCTATGTTGGCCGCGTTGTCGTTGTTTGTCCGCGTGAGACGGCCTCGCACGGTTCAACCATATCGACAGTATATTTTTGTTAGAAAAATTACATATAAGATATTTCTCTGAAAAAAAATGAATGATCAGTGTATTTTTAAATTTTTGCCGTATCCATTCCAGGACTTCAGCGCGCGGAAATAATCATTTCGTGAAAATTTCCTCCCAAAACCGCCGAAAATCATTCAATAGTGTACTAGCAAAACCACGTTTTTTCGATATCATTCTAGCAAAGATTATTTTTTTAATGTCCCACACTAAATTTGACGCATTTTTAAACATGAGTTGCAATTCCGTGTAAATATAGGACGTCCGGCGCCCGGGCCCTAATTGCGCCCCCTGTATTGTTTATTCAAACCGCACTAATGTCTACGAATGCCACGGATTGCCGGTCAACAGTTAAAGTGTTGACGTCGAGACTATCTCGTATGATCCCCCCGGCTTCCTTCTCTTCACACAACACAGGAAATCACCTCCGAGCCGCTGCTGAAAGAAGAGCAGCACGGCCAGCGCCGCCGCCCCGCACGGTATCACGACGTCCCACGCGACGCTGAAGAGCCCGTCACGAGGCCCCGCGTAGACGTCGATGTAGGACGGGATCCACCTCTGCACGTACCCCCGAGCCCTGAGCCCGTCGTACGCGTGAGGCGCCGCGCGGATCGCGGTGCCGCCCACGTAGAACCACGGCGAGATGGCGTTCACCCTGGAGGCCGAGAACGCGTTGGACACGATCTGGGGCAGCAGGAACCCGTCCAGTATCAGGCCGGCGTAGGAGAGGAGGTCGTCCGACAGCGGCGGCGGCGGCGGCGGCGGCACGTGGATGGCGGACTTCATCTGGCCAACGGCTGATGATCGTGCCCGTCACCGATGTGGGGGATCCAGATCAGGATGGCTCCGGCGATGTATAGGGGCAGGCATATCCAGAGCGTGCTCCGCTCGGCTGCCCACCGGTCGTCCCCGCCGCCGCTCGCTCCGGCCGTTGATCTCGCGGACAACGCGAGAAGCAGGAGGCGCAGCTGCAGCACGAACGCCACCATGGTGCTGAGCCTCAGCACGAACTCGTTCAGCTCGAGCCACCGGCGGCCGCCCCTCGCCAGCTCGATGAAGTGCCTGTTTCTGCTGCCGCCGTCGTCCACGAACATGGCCTCGTAGTTGACCACGAGAGGGATCATGTAACCCAGGGCCAGGACGGCGAGCATGGTGATCGACGTGGCCGGGAGCGCGTCGGGGTTCTTCCTGGCGTGGCGCAGCTGCAGGACGAGGAAGACGCAGGACAGCGTCATGGAGGTCACCAGCATGATGCGCTCCGTGTCCACCCTCGAGATCGCCTGGGCCGCCTCTATGGCGGGCTGCGCACCATACGCAGCAAAACCAAGCGTCTCGAAGAAGAGGGTGTCACTCTTCTTCCTCAGGCTGCTGATTGACCCAGTGCCGTCCTCGCCGCCCAGCGCAGGGAGTTGCACGGTCACTAGGATCTGACAGTCCGACGAACTGTTGATCACTCGGCAACCTACCATGCACAGGGTACCTGACTTGGTATCATAAACGCCTTCCGCCGAGACGCGCCACCGATCAGGCACACGCGACACATTCCACGCCCTGGATGAATTCACGCGACGATAGAGGTGGATATCGAATTCGTAGCTGACACTCAGGAGCCTCTGCTTGATCATCTCTGCCACAGCGTGGCGAGAGAACGCGTCGTCGGCCGTCAGCGTGCCACCGTCAACCATGGCGGAACCGAGCGTGACCGGCGAGGCGTACCCGTATCCGCCGTGTGTCGTGATGTACAAACTGAACGCGAAGTCCCGGTAGGAGTAGTTCCCCGGAAACCTGCCGTTCCTCTCCTTGCTCAGCTCTGGGTTGGAGTGGTAGTAGTTCTTGGCGTCCTCCACTCTGGTGTAATGGTACTTGATGTCGGAGAGATCGCCCCTGAAGCCAGTTCTTGACACCGATATCGCGCCGGACATTTTGTTCGTGTCGCCGTCGTCGTCGCTCCTCGTGTTCCGGATCATCCCGGCTACGAAGCTCCGTTGCTGGATCGACCACACGGCCGGGAACCAGAAGTGGATCCGGATGCCGCAGTCGCTCTCGCGCACCGTCGAGCGCACGGTGCGGCACGCCCTGAGGCAGAGCCGTCCCTGGGACGGTTTCCAGAACCCGTCGGCGACGAGCGCCTCGTCCCCGTCGGCCTGGAAGCCACGCCTCCACGGCGCTTCGTGGATGCCTAGAAGAATGGCGTCCGATGAGGCGTCGTCGAAGTCGAACACCATGTACGCGCGCACGGCGCCGTTCTCGCCGCAGTAAATCTCGCTGATGTGCATGCTGCGAAGGCGTTGGCGCAGAGGGAAGCCGCTCGGCGCGCGTCCCTCCGCGTACTCCATGGTGTAGGAGCCTCGGAGCAGCGCCCCGAGACGGTCGCACGTGAAGTTTCCGTCGAACACCTTGCTCTCGGACCGCACGGCGCCGGGCGGCGTCGGGCAGGAGGCGGCCTCACCGTACTTGTAGTCACCCTCGGCGTACGCAACGAGGGTGACGGCGCCGAAGTCCGGGCCCTCGAGGCGGCCGGTGACGAAGGGCCGCGTGAGGGTGGCGGGGCGCGGCAGCCGGAGGCGGAGGGCGACGTCCGGGATGATGACGACACCCAAGCCGTCGTCTCTTGCGCGGGAGCCTGACCCGACCATGCAGAGCGCCGCCGAGGCAGAGTCGTTGGAGTAGTAACCTTCGAGGTCGAACGACACGGAGTGGGCGCTAACGTTGGTGCGCCACGAGCGCCCGCCGAAGAAGCGGTAGCCGGAGAGGGTGACCGTGGCGACGAGGTGGGTGATGGCGGGGTCGGTGGTGCGGGCCGCGCGGCGAGTGAAGAAGGAGAAGGAACGTGGGAGGCGGTGGTCGTCGGAGGCGAAGAGGAGCTTGTCGCCGCCGGAGAAGTAACCGTCGGAGGGCAAGGGAAGATTGAGCCGGTCCGCGATGGACTGGTGTTCTCCGGCGGTGACGACGAGGTCGGCGGCCTCGGCGGGGAAGCTGCAGAGAGAGGAGTACGACGTGGCCATGGCTGCAGGAAGGAGGAGCAGGAGGAGGAGGGAGAGGCAGGCGTAAGCGTCGTCGGGGCACCACGGCCGCGCCATTTTCGAACAGCTAGCCGGGAATGGATGCGTGATGCGTCCTCGATCGATGTCTTAGCTGCTTGGAGGAAGTTGAGTATCGGTTGGTTTTTCGTCTACGCATGCATCTGGAATCATATTGCAGAGAGAGTATGTGAGTTTCAGACAGAGACTGGCACGTTGGCGACAGGATGAACTAGCAGGGAAAAAAAAACAGAGAAGATAGTAGAGGGAAGGGACTGGGAGACCAGGAGGGTGTGTGCATGCAGTAGCTTATGCTAGTCTTGTTTACTTGTCAAAGTAAACGTCAACTGTCCTCCATGCACTCCATTAACTCTTGTGGAAATTTGTCAATTCCATCGCACGGATAATGCTCCATTTGCAAAAGGGCGATCCATGACGCGAGGTGGCAAACTGGCAATATCCCGTGGTCAGTACGGTTTGGAAGTAAGCACTCATGGTGGCACTATTACTACGCTGCGCCAAACCTCCATTATTATACGGAGAGTAATGCTCCAATGTATTCTACCTGCAGTATTCTACTGCAAGTAGAATTAATCTCGACCGTTTATTTTAAAGTGTAGATTAGTAATCTCTTAATACAGCTTAGGGGTAATTTTGACATGGGATTAATTTTTTTTCTCATCTTTTCGCCTTAGGTCCGACAAAACGCATATCGCCTGCGCCCCCGACGCAGGCACCGCTTCAGTCATCGCAGGCGGCGACGCGGCGAAAATCGCCGTCGGCTCCGGATTCGGATCGCCGGCGGACCTCCTCCTCTGGCCCCCACCTCCGCCGCCGCTCCGCCCGCCCGTCTACTCCACCGGCGGCTTGCCGACCCAAACCCCCCCCCCCCCACCAGTCATCGCAGGTGGCGGTGCGGCAGGTCCGACGCAAAAGCTCCCGACTCGCAGGCACCGCATCTGATTGTTCTTGTAATTCTCTGATTTAGCCTTAACCTTGTGCTATTGTGCTGTGTGTATGCATGGTTAAATTCTTCTCGATAAGCCTGAAGTATGTAGTGTTCCTTTTGGATATTATGGTTGATGTATAAACGGCATATGCTTATATTTGGTGCTTGTACCGTAGGTGAGGTCTATCATAATATGCAGCTATTGCTTTAACTGAGAGCGCACATGCTAGTAAACTAGTACTATTTCAGATGCAAATACTAGTGCTATAAGAAAATTTTTTGCTAGTTTTTCAGTTGTTACTTAATTATAAACACATGTACTTTAAATCCTGACCACTTTATGAATCAGCATATTTGATGCAAACCATTTTCATTATCGGCTACTTATCAATGTCCATTGGCAACAAAATGCAGTAGGACAATATGACACCTCAATGCTGAAAAGTCTACCTGAGATTCATAAGCTTAAGGAAATGAAGATTCTGTCGCACTACATGGTTGTCTGGAAGCCTTTCTAAAAAAAGAGGAACAGTTGGGCCCAGAAGACATGTGGTGAGTGCCCCTTAGGAACAGCTGTTATGCTCTTAGCTTCACTGCTTATTGAATAGCCTTCTTTGCAATCTTCATTTCTTTTGTTAACCAAAATAGGTTGATGTGCATATGTATGATGTGGAAATATTACCTCAATACGTGGCTTGCTTTGGATTCTGAATTGGAAGTTACTGTTGTATTGTTGTTGCATAACTGATAACCACTTTTTTCTCTGCTTTGCATTCAGGTACTGCCCATGCTGCAAAAAGCATCAACAAGCGATGAAGAAATTAGATCTGTGGAGGCTACCGGAAGTTCTGGTCATTCATCTCAAAAGGTTCTCGTACACCCAATTCACAAGAAATAAGCTTGAGACTATCTTTTTCAATGTCTTGATAACGAGCAAGGCTGGTTGGTTTCTGCAGCATGAAGAAGGGAAGGGATGGTACAAGTTTGATGATGAGTGCGTGAGACCTATAACTGAAGACAGTATAAAGACACCTGCTGCTTATGTGCTGTTCTACACACGAGAATGATCAAGATACAGCTGCAATACATCAAATATTTTTTCGGGATGTTTTGCCAAGTCTAGATCTTCCTACATATTCAACAAATGGGGCACTTGAATCTCTCAAGTCACTAACCTATACAACAGCATGTACAGATTCAATTGCCGACAGGACAACAAAAGACCTAGCTAATGAACTATTCTTTTCCAGATTCTTTTTGTACATGGCTTGGGGGTCCTACAATGTAATAGCCTGCTAGTGATTAGCCTTGGTTCTACAAAATTCTTTTTGTCAACGAATTGTTGAGAATAATTTTAAAACGATGTAACCTCTCCTTTTAAATTAACTCGTATGATCGATCTGTTCCTGTCGCGAGTGCGACGCCATAGCTACTCCTGTGTTGCTCCATCCATGAATGGCTATTTGCCAATTCCTGAGAGTCAGATGACACTGACATGATGATCATTGAAGGTCTGAAATCCCCATTCTGTAGCTTTGCTTTATGGACCAGGGAAATATATCCATGATGATTTCTGATTCCGTCCTATCTCCAGAACTCTGCTGTTTGACAAATAACAGAAGATTATTGCTGCCCTCAGTTCTGTTTAGCCTGATTGCCTTGGACAAATATTCTGACATATCTCAAGAACATCTTTTCTGCCTTGACATATCACAGAACCAGACCAGGTTGGATGGGCATCAGAGCTTTATGTGCAACAGTATGTTGATTGCAATTGTCATAAATAAGAACAACAAAAAAAAAGTCTAACTGCTCATTAAAAACATCCCATACCAGAGTTTGATTAAAATCATCTAAATGTCTAACTACTCATCTGTCATCTTATATCATTGACAAGAGTGAACTATCAGACTGCCACTATCGCTTCCTTCTAAACCCATCAATTCGTTCCTGTGTAAAACCTTTGTCCAGCCGATCCCCATTCCAGTGCTCCATCCACTTGAGCATAAATAAGCCAGAAGACAGATGACGACAGAGGGAGTGGAGAAGGCGGCGAGGGCGGGGGAGACGGACGGCGAAGGAGGGGCGCTGAGAAGGCGACGCGGCCGGGGGAGACGGACGGTGACGGAGGCGGCGAGGGCGGGGGAGGCGGACGGCGACGAAGGGGGGTGGAGAAGGCGACACGGGCAGGGAAGACGGACGGTGACGGAGGAGGCGGAGAAGGCGGTGAGGCCGGGGGAGGCGACAGCGCTGGAGAGGAAGGAGATGCCGATGGTGCTGGAGGCGACGAGGGAGATGGACGGCGACGGAGTCGGGGATGGAGGGAGGGGAACTGGCGACGGAGAGGGATGATGGGGAATGACGTCGTCGATTAGGATAGGACAGAGAGAGGGTGAAGAGTTCGATAAAAGACAAATTACGATAATATCCATACTCGAATTTTGACCTCTAGACAAATATACCCCTCCATATTTCTACTCCTATAAAATCTGGTGGGAGTAGAACTAGATCTCAACCCTACGATTAAATACGATCAACGGTTCGGATTAATTTCTACTACAAGTAGAAAGCACCGGAGTGGGATACTTATACGAAATTAGGTCCGTTTGGCACAACTTTAGCTTCAACTTCATCTCTTTTAGAACTGAAACCCAACCAAACAGTTTTAGCTCTATCCAAAAGAGAAATGAAGATGGCAAGTGTGCTCTCGTAAAATAAACTAGAGATTTATAGTTAAATTTAGAAGTTAGAACCCTACCAAATGGACCACTCCATATGTTCACATATCTAATAATACTACAATGTTTTTAGTCCAATACTAGCTTACTATAATTTAGTACTAATGGGGTATATACGTTAAAATGTTGATTGTTAAGTGGATCAACGAAATAAAATAAAAAATTAAGTAGATCGAGTAAAGCAAAAGGTAGATTAAATAGAGATTTTAAAGACTGCATGAAATAAAAATAGACTAAAAGCAATAAATTCTTTTTAAAAAAGAAAATTCTAAGACAAGAGGTAGGGATGTGTCCTCCATTGATATCTACTTGAGGACGTTGAGTATCGGTTATTTTTAGTAAGAGCATCATCAAACATCAAACTTTTGTCACCAAAATTTTAGTTATAGGAATCCTACACAAAATTAGGTTGTGCCAGACTCCACAGTTCTTCTGAAACTAAATACTCCATCTGTCTTAAAATAGCCCAATACTAAATTTAACATATCATGGTACTATGAATTTGAACATGAGTACTGCAATGTATCTAATCCAGTACTAGCTTACTATATTTTAGTGTTGTGAGAGTATATACTTAAAATAATGGACAACAATGTAGGTCAAAAGAAAAAAAGTTAACAAAAAAGCCGATCGAGTAAAGCAAAAGGCAGACTAAATTGGAACTTTAAGTACCGCAAAAAATAAAAATAGACGGAAAGCACATGAAATTCTGAAGAAGAAGAAGAAGAAATGAAAATATTAAAAACAACAAACACCTCTCGCCTCTAACCTCCATCCCATTCATGCTGCCAATCAGGTGTACTAGTGTTGCCTCCATTTAAGGGATGAAGGCAACAACGATAGGTCTTGGGATGATGACTGTGTTTCGTCAGTCATCCAACACTCCATACTTCTGACTAACTATTATCATGGAACATGTCGGAACTTCGCGAACAATACCCACAACATGGTAAGGGCTCCCTCCTTCATGGGGGAACCTAAGCTTGAATTAGGGATGGCAATGAGGCCCCGACACCCGTTCCCCAACAGGGAATTCCTCCATTAGGGTCTACTAACGGGGTGAAGTCATCCCCCACGGGGGTAAAAACGGCCAAAAACATCCCCCATCGAGTGGGCCGGGGATGGGGCCGTTCTACATGTCCCTGGCCCTGAAACCCCATGGGGGCCGAGCAAATAGATGTATTCTTCTTAGCATATCACATATAAGCAAGAAATAGCCCACTTAGAGGACCAATTCGCAGCTTGGTATATAAGCATCCTGAAAACCCTAGGGCAAGTGGTCAACCTCTCTAGTCCCCCTCCCCTCTTAGTCTCTCACGGTCGCTCTCTCTCTCTCTCTCTCTCTCTCTCTCCCTCTCTCAGATCTACGGTCGTCGGGGCACCACCAGCCAACGTCGCTACCGCTCACAGCGGGTACACCCGCCGCCGCCACCTAGACGTCACTGATTGTCGTTGGTGCGCCCACCGCCGCAGGCTCGAGGCCTCGACCTCCCTCGACCCCACGCGCTCCTGTCCTCCTCGACGCACCGCCCCATCCACGCCCAGTTCGCCATTGTCGGCATCTCCAGCGGGCCCAGCTCCACGCCGCCCTCGCATCCCCCAAGTACAACCTCAAGCCCCCAACCGGCCTCACTTCAGCTCCACTGTTGACACCTTCCGGCGAAAGCCTCCTCCTGCAATCATGCTATTTGTTTGAGTGTTTGATGATCCACTCTTGTAAGTTTGGCTTAAGTTCTTGTTGTCATGAACCATTATTGTTCTTGTTTGTTGAGTGTTGTTTTCATCTTTCATCCACTTGTGTTCGATGCTACCATACTACTCTTAGTTTCTAAGATTTCAATGTCGGGTGTGGGGACCCAGTGTGTGGTCCGTACCCGCATGGGGACGGGGATGGGGACGGGGACGGGGAGAAATCATCCCCCGTCTACGGGGATGGGGATGGAGACAGGAGCTTTTTGTCAGTTTGGGGGCGGGGACAGGATGGCAATACCCGTGGGTACAACCCCGTTGCCATCCCTAGCTTAAATACATGATGGCATAGAGGAGAGGAAGAGAGATGATGGAAAAAATGAGAGTCCATGGGCTCTAACCCCCTTGGAGTGCCCCTTTTATTCATATATACACGGAAATTGCATTGTTTCCCTTGGACTTTACCTAGGGGTACCCATAGGCTCAAGGTATTTTAGTCATTTGCTCATGTGCATGTAGGGAACCATATAAAGCATGTTTCATATAACTAATCTACAACTTAGGAGTAAATAATCCATCAATAGAACCATAGTTGGTGAAATACTCAAGGAGGGGAGGGAGCAGACAATGTGGCATGGTGATAGGACAAGGCACAGTCAGCCATTCAGGAGGGTGTTGATGTTGGGCCTTCAAACTCTAGACTGAGGTGGACAATAATGATTTGTGGATTGGGGGTGAATATCACTAGTTTATAGGTTAGATATGATCTAATGCATGTCATTTGAAGAGTGAATCATTGATGGCTTTGCAAGGTGAAATGGCACATCTAAGCCATCTAGCTTTCTACAAATTGTGTAGGGATGCATGAGTCCTATGCCACAACAATCAACGAGGCCTACCGATCAAGTGAAGCCAATGTCGTCTGCAATTGCTAAATGAGTTTTCTAGCCAACGCAAGCAACACTGTTAACCTGAACTATAGAGTGAAAGAGAATTGTTAGGAATAAGTCTTTCATGTTGCACTTATTAAATAATAGAACTACCAGCTCATGATAGGCATAAGTTAACAAGATCAAGCTAGCCTACTTGCATTACCCAACAATCTGGGTAACATCACTAATTCTTACATGGATGGTGAAATAAAAGCCACATGTGCAACATATGTCTTGAAAATAGCAAAACAAATATATGTTCATGCAATCTACCAATAGAAATATGGACTATAGGTCCATATCTATTGCAGGCCTTATGACCTTCACTTTGAGTTTTGAGGATAGAATCAATAATTCTACATCCATGCCAAGAAAACCAAAATTGACAATATCATCAGTTATTTTTATTCTTAGAGCTTCAATGTGGTGTCTATCATGAATTCATGACAATCAACACCTATACCAATGAATTCCATCATAAGTTCCTCAAATAATTTCTTCAATGAACCCTTAAACTTTGTTGAGCAGCCTTTGTTGCCTTTGTCAATAGCCTTCACCCCTCCTATAATGCTTCCAACTTGGGCACCATCCATATAGGCATTGCATCCTATGAGGATACTATGCCCATATTTGTGAAAATGACCAATAATGAAGTCGTCAAAATGCTGCGGAAGTTGCAATCGGATTATGTTTGCAAGTACCAAGTTTATATAAATAATTGCTCATTGCAAAAGAAAATAAATCACAATAGGTTTGCCACCCACTTTTGTCATCACAAAAGATGATAGTAAAAATATGGTTATGTCAAAAAAAATCAATGATAAATATACCCACGGATATTAGAACATACTAGATAAAAGAAAATTATAGATTTTTCATACCTTTGGTGGATTGCGAAGAGAATACAACATTGTTTTGCAGGACAACAGAAAAGTCTCCTGATTATAAGCTATAGACTTCTTCTCTGCCCGAGGTGTATTAGCATAACTTTCGAAACCAGGTTCATTAAAATAAGGTTTTGCATTTAATACCAAGGCTTGAATGGAGACTAGGACTTGTAGCGTTGAATTGGATGGGTTCCACTTCTCACATCCATCACCAGGCCATGTGTTTAACAAACTGAGACAGACTTTCCCACAGGCATAGAGATTTGGATTAAGCCGCATACCTCCAGAGTGATAGATCACTAGCTGAAAGAATGGTCAAATATATGTCTCACATCTTGAAATTAATGCTTAGAACAAAAGAGGGAATATCAAGACAATATGTATGCATATGACATAACAAACCCTTACCAGAGGGTTTCTAGGATATTGGGGAGGGAAATAAACATCAAAAAAGAATAGCCCGTCATGGTAAGGAGTGCCTGATGGTCCAATAATGACTGCTCTAAGCAGCTCCAACCTATCCTCATAAACTCTTACAAATATATTATCTGTATAATTTGGAGGGAGTTTCAATTAGGACATGAAACCATAGCATCTAGTGTGCATGCACAAACGAAGAAACTAAAGAACAATAATATGAAAAAAAGAAGATAATTTATCAGTTGTGTATCCATAGAAAACTAAAGCATAAAAGAGACATTCGCTACCAACCTGGCAAATCTTTCTCTAGGACTTTCCATTCATGTTGAATCCGCTTCACCCAGTCCTTCCCAGGCTGCAAATAAATGAGAATACATATTAAAATTAAGGATATGAATGTACATGTAAAGCATACCAGAAAGCACAAATATCTACCTCATTAACTACTTGAACCTTCCTTTCTCTTGGGTTCGAATAGAAGTGATCAGAGTGATCACCTACAATATCAAATTGCTTAAATTCCACGTATTTTTCATCAATTTTAGGGTCCACATGCTTCATCTGTTTATGCTGGTGCGGCTTCTCAGCAGAAGTTTGTCCCTCTACAACAATACCTCCCTCACCAAGTGCAACCAAGTAATAATATGTATTTATGTTTAAGTTGATATCGCTTCCCTCCAGCTTGAGGTAATCGGCAAGTGACATAGCTTTAGGGAAAGCTCCTACTCCATCCGATGGATCAACATTCTTCAATGCAATAGAACTTGGGCCAGCAACATCCTTAGTGGAACCACTCTAAAATTACCAGATGCAAAAACAGATATTAATCGTTTGTATGGTGTAATAAACAATGGGTGGCTCCAAAATTGAAGTGCTCAACATAATTCACCCATGTGGTTCATTGGTGAAATAAAAAATGTCTTAACTATTCTAATTATATGTTTTTTTCCATCAATGATCTTACATCCATCGGAATCATCAACACCAAGTTCAATTAGCAAATGGGAAACAACCTTTTGATTCAATATGTAGCATTAAAATTGTGCACAACATAAAAACACACAGAAAAAAGTGTAACACACATAATGTATATTCAAGCATAACTAACCCTACATAACATTTTATAAGGCTAGATAGGACACAACAATAAAGTTACAAAACATTGCACTAACTAAACATAAAATGTTTAGTTAAAATACAATAACATTTATTTTCTAAGAAATACAATAACTTTTAGGGTAAGTGTATAATAAGGTAAAGCCATAAAAAGAGGAATCACATTACATGTACTATTTAAATTCTAATTAAAATTGTACCCAAAAAAAAATGTTTGGAAGAACTATTTCCATAGATGTTGGGAGAAAATCACTAAGAACACTCAAGAGAACAAGGAAAATGTAAAAGGTAAATAGCATCACACTTCCAAAATTACACATCCAAATATTAAATTGTGTGAAGGCCATTTATATATGTTTATGTCGGGATTTATGGTTGGTTAAAAGTTAAGTCACTCCCTGTAAAATGTTATAGCATCGGGCTACATTTTTTGTTTCTATTTACTAGATATGCAAATGTTTATCAAAGGTTTTGTTGCATGTTTACATTCTAATGTAAAATCAAACCAAACACAACCACCAAAAAAGGGGAATGCTAGGGGATGGGATACCGTCCCCCAACGGGATAGCTCCTCCTCCACAACGCGATTCTTATCCATACACGCACCAAGCCTGCTCACCCGCCGCCGTCGCGGTCCCCCGCCGCTCCGCGCCCGTCCGCCGCCACTGCTGCGCCCATCCCCCACTGCCGCCGTTGTTGTCCCTCGCTATCGCCGCCGTCGCTGAGCCCGTCCCCTGCCGCCGCCGTCCTCGTCTACAAGGGACGGCTGTAGGGGGCCGACCGTGCGTGTCGGGGTGCTCCTCCCCCAACGGGCCCAGCTATATCTAGTAGGAATCACCTGATACCTTGTAGGTATCATATGATACCTCGCAAGTATCACGCGATACATGGTAGAAATCGTCTTATACCTGACAAGTATCACATGATACCTCGCGAGTATCACGCGATACGTGGTAGAAATCATCTAATACATGACAGGTATCGCATGATACCTCGTGAGTATCACGTGATACGTGGTTGAAATTGTCTGGTACCTGATAGGTTTCACATGATACCTCGCGAGTATCACGCGATACGTGGTAGAAATCGCATGATACCTGATAAGTATCACATGATATTTGCAAGTATCACCTAAAACATGAATAGAATCGTCTAATACCTGATAGGTATTACACCTGATACCTACTCGGGATCATCCTGTTGTGTAGAATCGTCTGATACTTGATAGGTATCACACCTGATACCTACTCGGGATCATCCCGTTTGAAAACGGGATTCCGTTATATAGCAGCCCCCAAAAAAAATGTTGATCACCACAAAAGCTAATAGTACGGTTATAAGGGGAAAAAACTAGCTCCAAGCTATAATTAGAACTCCCATGCATACATGATTTAGATATGCGAACATGAATATATGATTGGAAGACAAACATAATAATTGCAACCCATAGTTACAACCCAACTTCTCAACAAACCACATGCATGTCTTAGGTTTTCTTTGTTGAGTGAGACATCCCTAAGCCTTACAACATGGACAAAGTACTTTCTAATACACTTGATAGTATGGTACTATGATCTAAATCTAACCATTTATTTCCACTTGTACTTATGACATTTTTTAAACAAAGGATATTTGTGACATTGTTTGGGGCTTTTGGTAGGATAGTTTTCAACATGCATCTATTTTAACGTGACATATGACATGTTAATTCACCCCCAATCTCCACACATTTCAATTACAATTTTACCATGTTGGAAATCCTCTTACCCATACTACCATGTGTAATATAATATATTGTGATTAATTCGATCAAAAGTAACATATGATCCTAAGGTGCGCTGGAAAAAAATTCTAAAACAAAAGGGGATCTTCAGCATCACCTGGCTCCATTTTCGTTTTTGGCGAGCAGAACTCCATCCAGCAGTCGCCGATGCCGGCAACACCTCGACAGCATCAAGATCCCCCAATGATAAGCTTCCTTTGGTGGGGGAATTCCTGCATCCAAAACCAAATCCGAAACAAATAACGCATTAGAATTTGCCCCAAACGCAAATGCACCAAAAGACCGAAAGACAACAAAAAACAACACGATATGCGGCCCGAGGAAGCCGGCGTACTCACTTGGAAGAACCCTCCGCCGTGGAAGAGGGTACAGGCGAGGGGGATGGCATGGTTTCGTGGCGTCTGGGTGTAATTCTATGGGCAAAGGGGGATATTTCACAACAAAATGGAGAACACGAAGGGGAAAATAGGTCAGACGAGCCTTAAATTCTGACGTTACTTCTTTTCAAAAACAACCCAAGCCTTTTGGTATAGACAGATGAACTCATGGCTGACATAAGAATGGCTTATGGGGACCGGGCTGATGCATGCCATGTGTGGTACGCGTGGCAGTGGGAGTTGTGCAGGTTAGGTTCGGCGACACGTGGTTCACATGTTTTGTTTCGTATTTTACCCTTTTGCTTTTGTGATTTTTTATAGTGCCATGCTTTGACTTAGAAAGTTCAATATTAGCAATTTAGTTTCAATACTTAGCACTAATTAACATCCACCCTGTTTGGCATATTGTTTCAATGGACCAAGTCTAAATACCCCCTAACTTTAATTGACTGTCTGTATGTTAGTCTGGCCCCTCCAACTCTTGTTTGATCCAAATTTCGCTCTGAGCGGTTTTGTTAAGTCGTTTTCCCTGCGTGGCAAGCTGACTCAATGTTTTTTCATGTCATATTACCCTATAGACCACTAGGCAAATAAGAAAACAAAAGACGAGCATATATGACTTTAAAAAAGAATGACCAATGAGTTTAGATAAAGCAACATCCTAGCAATCTTTGCTCCTGACATATTTTTCTTATTTTGATTTAGGTACAAGCAGCTTGCCAGTGTGGTAAAATCATTGAGTCAACATGGCAAAACCATTAAGTCAACACACCATGTAAGCAAAACCAACCAACAAAACCTTTCAAGGGGTTAATTAGCACCATGTGACTCGATATATAGTTTAATAATTCAGCATGTTAGGCAGACTTTCAAGTAAAGTTTGTGGGGCTATTTGAACTTTTTCATGTTTTATATTGTTATATGCACAATTCTCATGAAAGTTCACATAATAAACTAGAATAGTGGTGGGCATAATTGACTGAAATTGAAAATGGAACAATGAGAAGAAGAACAATTGAATTTGTTGGTCTAACCGAATGCCCACCCCTAACTGGAACAATAGAAGATATTTTTTACATATTTATTTTTCCATTCTTGTGAAAGATTCTTCATTTTTCTCATCCCTTATATATTGCCTAAATGTATATACCCAAAAACGAACATATAATATTTCTTTTAGCAAAGTTTAAACTGCAGGCTTGCAACCATCCTGCCAGAAGATTAGTTTAAATTGCTATACACCCTCGAGAATGGGCCGGGAAATTAGGTCAAAACCTTGGGCTTTGCCCATGGCCCGTGGGATGGGCAATTTAGGGCCTTGCAAAAGGTATAAAACACGGAAGTCCACCTTGACTCCCTTAAAAGTAACCCGAATATAATCCGTAACCCTCAACCGTAAAACCGGATAGGACGACTCCCCGAACTATTAAAACCAGTGCAATTTGACTCCCTCTGCGGTTTTGAAGGGCGGTTTTGCTGATGTAGCGCTAACGTGGTAATGTTGACCTAGTTTTCGTCTCACGTGGCATTAGAATTAAAAAAAAATCTATAGGACCCATCGGTGATTCACACAGAAAAATATTGTGGGCCCCACTGACATGTGGGGCCCACATGTCATCCTCTCTATCTTCTTCTTCCTCCTCCCTCTATCTCCCTTCTCTCTCTTTCTCTCCCCCTTTTCTCTTCACCTTCTCTCTCGTGGAGCAATCGACAGGCAGGGGCAACGACAGCGGGCAGGAGCCAGAGCGGTGGCGGCAGGCGGGCGGGCTGGCGGGTGGGCGCTAGAGTGTGCGGCGTGGAGGCTGCCCCATGCGGCGGTGGAGTAGCGCGATCGAGGCGGGAGGAGGTGCGAGCACCCGGTCACGCATGACGACGAGCATCCGGACGACGGCGACGACGACGACGTAGCCGACATATGGAACGCGCTGCACTTGCCGCCGCCGCCGCCGCACTTGGGGTTCTCACAGGAGAGCAACTCGGGGTCCGAGTCCTGGTCCACCGAAAACCTCGCTCGCAGGTTGGCCATGATGAACACGACCGTGCCGGCGATGATGAGGGAGAAGACGATCCCATATGCTGCGGCAATTCTCCCGCGTCATCACCGTGTACACGAAGTTGAACGGCGGGTAGGTCGCCGGAATCCCACCGGAGAAGTTATTCGCCAGGAGCATCGGATACTTGAGGCTCTTCATGTCGGCCACCTCGAGAGGGAGCTCGCCGTAGAACTGGTTGAAGCTGAGGTTGAGCCTGGCGAACAGCGGCAACCGGAGCACGCCGAAGGAGACGATTCTGCCAGTGTAGTTGTTGTGATGCAACACGAGGTATCTCAATGTCACGAACTTGCCAAGAATCTCCTGCATGTTGCCGCCGAACACGTTGGTGCTCATGTCCAAGAACTGCAGCGACGTGCAGTTCGTTAGCTCCGGCGGAATCTGGCGATCGAATCGGTTCTTACCAAGTATCAGCCGCCGCTGCCGCCGCCGCTCCAGCCCGTGCACCCTGCGGCCGGCCGAAGGGGAGAGAAGAGAAAGAGAGGAAGAGAAGGGAGGAAGAGGGGAGGAAGAAGAAAGAGAGAGGATGACATGTGGGGCCCATATGTCAGTGGGCCCCACAGTTTTTTAATGTGTGTGAATGACAAACGGGTCCCACGTATACGTTTTTAATTCAAATGCCACCTAAGCGCCATGTAATCCCACAGACTAGTCAACACTACCACGTCAGCGAAACCACCCTCCAAAACTACGAAGGGAGTCAAAATGCACCGGTTTCGATAGTTCGGGGGTCGAGATATCCGGTTTTGCGGTTTAGGGTCATGGATTAGATCCGGGTCACTTTTAAAGGAGTCAAAGTGGACTTATTCCTATAAAACACACACAATCTTAAGCAAAACATTGTAAGTTACTCCTATAACTCAAGCTTTGCAACTGACAAATGATTAGTAACACGATTGCTTTGCCTTTTCTTAACTATCTCGCTCCCTTCAGATGAGATTGTTGCTGATAAGTGTTAAGCACACATTCTCCTTTCTTTTTACATGAAGAAATTCACGTGTTTTCTTTTTCTTTAGAAAAAAAACTCTGAGCTGTAAATGGTGGTACAATTGCTGAATAGCAAATACCCCCTTGTCTGCAAATCTACATGTTGCGTGCTCTTTCCTATGAAATATTAACAGAAACCAAAAAGGGGTGAAACTTTTTCCCCCTGTATTTCACTGTACAGCACAACAATGTTATGCCGACCACTTCCGAATCAACTGGTCGATGCGATCTTCTGCGTCTTGGTTTCAAAATTAAACTTGGTTGTTCTTGTTCAACTGTAACCTCGAAGCTGTGGCAGCAGTGGAAACCTTTGGACTAGGATTCTGAACTAGCACTAGCAATGGCTGTGAAGGACAACTTGAGTTGGTATGAGAAGTTCTCTGCAATGATACAATGTGTTAGACTCACTGAGTTTAGTACTAGTACAGTAGAGCAGCAAGAATCAGTGGTTTTGGTAGTGCAGTTGTGCATACCACTCCGACATGCCAGTGGTCTGATACGAGGCCTTTGAAATCGGCTGCATCCATTTCCTGTGTGTCGTCACATTGACAGCATGGGAAATTTTCATACTTGTGCAGATTAGAAAATATTAAAGAAATACTACTAAGTAGCAAAGATTATAGATTGTGTAAGTTTAGAGCATGTTACTGAACGTACCACACTGTAAATAGGAGGCATAGCAATCTCCCAAGTAGATTTCATAAGGGGTACAACTGGAAGATGGAGTGATGCTTCAGGTATCCTGAAATTCCACCTAAAAATGGGAACAAGAACTGCGTCACATCCGCTTTGATCTCATTTGGCTGTTTTGCATTACTTTCTTCAATCTATATTAAGAAATGATTTTGACTCACCCAATATACATGAATATGCAAAACTGTACCCATTCACGCACCAATACGCGAAACCAGTAGTTATCTGGTGTATCATCAGCCCTCATGTACACCTGAAGGCACAGATGGCACTATCAGAATTCAGGAGCGCTGCCAAACCAAACAAATCATACCAGAACACAATGCCATACGTATGCATTAAGTCATACCATGATGAATGCCACCACTGCAACCTGCATTGTACCTTGAAATCTCCTGAAAAGGGGAAAAGAGATGGATAAGCACATGACAATTTCTCGGAGTTTTGGTACTAAAATGTTTTCAAGAATATGATGATCAGGAAGATAGGAAATACAGAGTGGAGTAAAATTTCTTACTTGAACATTGTGTACTTTGTGTTCAGTGCGCCGTGCAGTGAATGGATGTCTTCTTCCTCTATGAAATTCAGCTGTTCTCTTAGAACCATGAGGTTTTGGGATGTGCGGCGAAATATGATGTAAAATGACATGAAGTAGTTGATCAGAAGAAACACCTGCACCAAACATGGGAAATCTCATAATATGCCGTACTCATGACTAATTCTAGAAGCCTGATAAGCCCGTTCAAAAAATATTTTTTAAAAAAATAAGTCCAGTGAGGCCTTACTGTGAAGTAAGGAACTGCAGCTTTGTAACCGATCAGGCTGAGGTAGAGAAGGCATCCCAAACCAGCAGTTGTTCGCCTCTCCCTGATCGAGAGGCGCTCGCACATGATGCAGTAACCATGTGATATGAGCATGAACGAAACGAAGGAAGCCGTCTGGAAGAGAATCCCTGTCACATACACGCCAAATGACATCCACAGCGAGCATGTCTGAAGGTGCACGCACGAGTACCTGCACATCCACCTATAATTTCAGTACTTTGTCTATCCCATAAAAATTCAGTACTAGAAAAGATTTGTCTGAACAGCTTCAGGGACTTGTTCGAAGTCCGATCACTAAGTATTCAGAGATCAAAGATGTCAAGTTAACTTAAGTTCAGATTGCTCACCAGAACAGAAATGATAGCGCCATTTGAAGGGCTTTGATCAAGGGCACCAAAGCCAGGATCCACTGAAGATTATTTACCTGCTGCAGGGAAACAAAATTGCTCAAGAACTAACATAATCAAACGCTTGAAACATGACTCTGAAACTGATAACTGCCGGCAGTTTAGAAGAAGTTGCTCTAAGGTCCCAATGCAATGATCAGTCAGTCAAATGAAGCCATAATCAATCTTCTAAAACACCATAATAAAAAACTGCAACAAAACACACTACCCTGCATAGAACTGAAGAACAAGGGCACCATGCCACCAAACATACCACCCGAATTCAGGGCCAAACAGAACGGCAAATGCAGGGACAATACCTGGAAATGCCGACTCCTCCAGGAGCTGAAGGCCCAGGAGAAGCCGGAGGCCGCCCATATCGCCAAGAACCCGAGGTACAGCGACGGGAGAGGCTGGTAGGCGGTGCTCAATGCCGGGAGAGGAGACGGAACGTCCTGCATCCTCCTCCTCTTCTTCTTCTTCCTCTTCTTGCACAGGTAAACCAAACCCCTCCCAAATTCCGGAGGAAATAGTTACAACCTACAGGTCCTTGGCTACCGGTTGGAAGGGATCACAAAGTTCTCAACTCCTTGGATTTATGGACGGATTGACGAGAGATGCATGCGTCCATGCAGGAACAGAAGCTCATGGAGCAGTAGCCATGGATATATAAACAGACTTGACTTTGATTTGTTTTTCCTTTCTCTTTTGTGCATGTCTTGGCCAGACGGTTCTAGTATTGGGTTTGGCATTTTTGGAGGGGAAGTTCGTGCATGTGGCCGCTTTTTTCTCACCAGAAGCGTTATGGTGAGTGTAGTAGTAGTTAGGGTCGTTGCTTGTTGGAGGGAAAATACGGGAGGCAAACGTGTCTCTTGATGAATTTAAAAGGAGACAAAGAAACTTTTTAAATTTATGGCGATTCTCTTCTCGTGTTCCTTTTGACTTGTAGATGTATGTAGGTTTAAGCATTTAATTAAGGCAGCATCAAACTAGTATAAAGTAGTGTCTCGATCGACCACAAAGAAAATAATCCAGGAAAATGTTTAGTCCACATCTAAAAAAACGCCTTTTATTATCCAGAAAAGTGTTTACCAATTACCACATATCTGAAAAAAGAAAGTGTTTACCACATATCTAAAAAAAAAGTGTCTATCTACCACAAATCTAAAAAAAGTATTTACTACATATCTATAAAAATGTGTTTACCACATAGAAATGCGTCCAAATGCATTGTATTTGCTTGTAGGTAGAAGACTAGAACAAAATACCATGATACACCAAAAAAAATACACAAGAGAAAACCAGATAGATGGGCATATCTGCGCACGCAGTAAGCGAAGAAGAAAGATCGTGTTTACAGGTTCGTAGCGATGGAAATGTTAAAAAAATCCCCAAAGCGCGCACATCAGTTGCCTTCAGCATACTACTTAAATGTAAAAAGAAATGCAATGACATCAAGAAAACATGTCTTAACCGCACAACATGCAAGTTTCACATAGATTAATTAATTAACTAATTAATTAGCTAGAGTCAACACATTGTTATCTCGTGACCTCTTCTTTAGGATCCTTAAGCGAGATAAGGCGAATGATTATGGAGATTAACCACACGCACGCATCATCAGCTCAGCTAAGCAGTGCCCGCGTTTAATCGGGTGGAAGTGTGGCGGATGGGTTGGGCTAATTCACCACTACATCAGTGGCAGTTGGCACAGTGGTTGCTCACTAATTCCACGTCTCCAAGATGGCCCTCTTTGACCGCATCAGCTGCGCCTACGGAGAGAGAGAGAGAGAGAGAGAGAGAGAGAGGAGGCACTCGCGCATTAGGTAAACCAAACCTCACCGAGTCGGATTGCCTCCGTTGCCTCCGAACTGAAACCGAAACACCACATCTGCTCCACGATGGAGTCTTGAAACAGCCTCCGTATCAGAATTCAGAACGCCGCCTAGCTCTTGCTTGGGCCTCTAGCTAGGCCGTGGCCCATCACAATGCAGGTGTCGACCTGTACAAAATGTACGAGCCACACTCACACTGTCACACATGGCCCTCTACAAATTACTCACACGCTCACTGTTGTTGGTTATTGTTGGTGTGCGTTGTAATTAAAAGGGGGCCGTGGTGTCGTACCGCTTGGTAGTACTCCTCGACGTCGTGCGGGAGGGGCGGAGGCCACCGCTCCTCGCCGCCGACGAGGAGCATCATCATGCGATCCCTGGACATGTGGTCCTCCGCCGCCGTCTTCTCGACTTGGTGAACGCCCGCCTCGTGCAGCGGGAGCGGGAAGAGAGGTTTGATCCGTCGACACCCAGTGTGTCATGGTGGTGGTGCTCCGGTGTGCCGCCGCCTGCACCGGCCATGGCTGCCTGGCTGGGTCGTCCTAATATGCCGGGGACGCTCGGCTGAGCTGGGCGTGGATTGTGTATCTTTAGGCATGGCGTCGGCGTGTGCCTTCACTACGCCGGACCAGGTCATCTCTGACGGGCCCAAACCCTCACCTTTGACGGGTTTGGTCTTGGTCAGTGATTAGTGGTCACTGATGACAAAATCACCTATGACGGATGAAACACCCGTCATAGATAACCCATCTCTGACCGGTATATAAGTCATCTCTGACGGGTTAAAACTTGTCACCTGTCACAGATGAGTCATCAGTGACGTGTCGTAACTACCTGACCGTCACTGATGACAAAGCAAGAAATACAATGAAACACCCGTCACAGATAACCCATCTCTGACCGGTATATAAGTCATCTCTGACGGGTTAAAACTTGTCACCTGTCATAGATGAGTCATCAGTGACGTGTCGTAACTACCTGACCGTCACTGATGACAAAGCAAGAAATACAATTTTTGAATTTTAAACGCAACAAAAAACCTCAAAAAAATATTTTGAATTTTACTAGCCATCCTATATATGGTTACACATCACTACCATACAATTTTTGAATTTTAAACGCAACAAAAAACCTCAAAAAAATATTTTGAATTTTACTAGCCATCCTATATATGGTTACACATCACTACCTACAAATCACAATTTTTCACGTAATATAACTTGCATGCTACACGTGAGATTCGAACTCAAGACCTCAACCTCCATATAGAGCTCCCTTACCAACTCACATACTCAACAAATATTGACTACTCACCCAATGTTATTATTTTGTCTATGCTTGTCTGAATCATTTAACATATATTTAACACCCTAAATGACTTCAAATGAAAATATTATCAACTAAATAGTGTTATAGATCTCATTGTGTTTTATAACTTTTACATAGAAAATATCTTCATCCGATGTTGTTTGAAGAATTCAAAATTTCATTTTTCAAAATATATCTCACTTTATAACATGTACATTTTGTGAAATGAAAATATTTTCAATTATAATGTTGTAGATCTGGTTGAGTTCTATTACTTTGATACGGGGCATGTATCCATCCATGTCATTTGAAAAAAAACTCAAAATTTTGTTTTTAAAAGTAGATCTAATCACTTGTAATGCATGTTCGGGGATGTAAACGATCTCTCTAATAGAAATGTTGTTAGTTATAAAGTTGTGGATATCATTGAGAGCTACAACTTTTATATAGGGCATGTTTCAATCCGAGGTTTTTTGCAAAAATTTAAAAATTTAAATTTTCACTCATCACTGACGGGTCATAACTACCACCCGTCAGAGATAACGTTATCTGTGACGTGTGTTAATTAAAGACCCGTCAGAGATGTGATGTCATCTGTGACGAGCCATGGTTGTGACCCGTCACAGACGATCTGTGACGGGTTACAAGTGCAAGACGTCACAGATGACTTCACATCTGTGACAGGTCCTCCCTGGTAGCCATATATTGAAGAGGATATTTTTTCGGCCGGTTAGAGATGACTCATCTTTGACGAGTTGCGTTAGCCCGTCACAGATGACCCGTCACTGAAGCCCGGATATGTAGTAGTGCTTGACCCCGGCGTGATCGTGGTCATCGTCGTCGTCCAGGATGTTGGACAGTCAACGTCCATCATGTCCGCGTCGTGACATGCCTTGACGTGGGACTACTGATGCCTCATGCCTCGACCACCGGGACTACGTACTGGCTGCTGCTGCTGAGGTAACTCGGTTGATATAGTTGTTGTGCCGCCAGATCTCTCGGCGATGGAGTTCTCGGTTGAGGCGGCTGTAGAAGCTTCAGCTCTCTCGGTGATGGGTTTGGTCTCTGAAAACTTCCTTGACCCGTCGACTTGTGTACCTCCACGAGCGTCGGACGACTCATCGTTCGAATCACCAGACGCCTCCTTTGATCCAGAAGACCCGACTTGCGTGCTGTCAAGCTCCACCTCCGCTGATCGAATCTCTGTATTGCCGTGCGTAGTATCGTTCTCCGTGTGCTCCCTGATAGGCTAGGGCGACGCTGTCCTGCAGGCGGCGTTGAAGGTCCGACGAGCTCACCGGCGGCGTTCCTCTTGGGTCCCGCGAGATCCAGCGGCATCCTGCCACCGGCCGGCGTGCACGGCGCGAAGTAAATTTTGCTTTTAGATTGCTTTGTTGTTTTAACTAGATTCAATATATTAATGCTTTGAATAATATCAATCAGCTAGTTTAAATCTATTAAGCTTACAATTAATCTTGAACTATCTTGGTTTAGTCCAATCTTTTTTGTTATAATTTGCTAAATAAGATATGCTCAAGTCGATGAGTTATCTGCTTATTAATCCCTCCGTCCAATAATATAAGAAATTTTGGAAGGATATGACACTTCTTAGGATATCCAAATTCGTAGTCTTATGAAGTATCACATCCCTCCAAAATCCCTTATATTATGGGACAGAGGGAGTATAATTTAATCTGCTATATCGGTTAACTTACAATATTTAGCATAATCGATTGGCCTGCTATTTTTATTATCTTCAGTTTTATATTGTCTTGGTTATGTCTGATATATTTTTCAAGTTATATACAAGGCCCCCTTCGCAAGGGAAATAGAGTCTTGAGTTCTACCGTTATCGAGAAGTGAAACAACGATTTCCATATCATTTAATGAAAGGGATTCGTTTGTTGACTCGCTATCCGAATAAAGAAATTGTATAATATGTGGCTTTTGGAAGTCAATTCTTTAGGAGAGCCGAACCAAAAATTAGGAAATAAAGGGTTTAAGTCTTCCGCCTTCTTCTTCAAGGACAACGAGGATCTAATCCAGCCAACTCCATACTAAGCTTAAAAGTCTATGGAGCGGCTAAATGATTGAAAATCCTTCCCTTCTCGACACTCGTCGCCTCTGTCCCTTCGATCGAGAATATTATTATGCGTAGTAGCAATCAATGCTTGCTTTTACTATTCACGCCGAAGCTATTTCTTCTAGAAAAGCTTGATCCGTCTTTGACTCCGCTTTCGCTCAAGCAGGCTCTTCCTTCTAGTTCCTCTCCAGGCTCCAGTTGTAATTAACCTCCCTTAAACTGTAAGAACTTTACGAGAATTAGTTGTTATCTATGATGTCTTTTTACGCACATGCTGTAACAAGACCTACATTTACATGAAGTATACACACTGATTGAAGAGCTCGCACATACTACTAATTTATTTATTTATATAGAGCAATAATAAGTTTCAATAAATTCTTGGCATATCGGATTATATAAAAAAGATATATAATTGTCCATATTTTAGTTTATTACCTTCAATCTTATATTGTTTTGGGTTAGTCCGATCTATCAAGATTGTGATGACACTCTCGTAGCCCGATCTTCTAGTGAGAGGATAACGCTTTGATCAAGTGCGGCATTTGCGACATGGCTACTAACCAGAATAAGTCCAAAACGCCGTGCAATCGCTACACCACAAACGATGTCATACCAACCATGACGCGTGGTTGATTATCCCGCAATGCAAACGAGATAACACTGCAAAAACAAGATAAGATGCAATCTAAATATTGTGAATAGGTAATTAAGCACAAAGGAATAGTTGCGATTAAAAAGGTAAATCTAATCAACCAAGAAAATCAACAAACTAACTATTGGAGGCTCTGAATCTATAATCGTCGACTAATCAAGCGAGTACTAGAGACAAGGTAAATAGCATTTGGTAAAATTCAACTAAACGAACCCCCATTATTCAAAATAACTGGCACGTGACCGGCTGCACAGCCGGCCCTGAACGGGGCCACCAGCCACGGGCGTGACAATACAGTCGACGGTCGGCTCCCCCTTTGTGGCAGGCGCCCGGCACAAAGGGTCGGTCCAGCGCGATCCGGTGCAGTGGCCGTGACGGCAGCAAGGCTATGGAGGCTTGTGTGCGTGCGTACGACAAGTTAACCGCCGAAGCGCGGCTGGGCTCCGATCCCTTGCCGGCACGAGGCCACGCGCGCGGTCGCGAGATCGAGATCGGGCTCCGCTGCCGGGCACGCGCGCACTACGTAGATAGCCCGCGCGCGGTCGTGCTCACGCGCGCCCCCGAATTCCGGATCACGGCCACGATCGATGTAGGCATCTGTAGCCTCCTGGCCGCGCTTTGCTCAACAAATCGGACTGCGCTGTTGGCCGGCACGGCATGCCGGCCTGGCCCCATCTGCATAGCACTCTCCACCAAAGGCACCAATCCGCCATCATTACATAGACAGATAACTAAAAATGCTGATATATATTGAAACTCCAAGAATGGACGGTGGCAAGCATAGAAGTTGGACAAGAGAGTGTCACTGTGACAGAGCCCAAGAGTGCCAAACCTCTCACTAAAACAGGCAAGAATTAAATCATTAAAAATTAATACCCAGTCATAACTTGAAGAGCGATTCACAATCTTTCACACGATCGGTTGATAGGTTGTTGCCTCTTCAGAGAAAAAGAGGCAACAACCTATGAAATAATCAACTGCATCCAAGATGAGCTAGGTCATTGGAGCATGGCTAACGTGAAGCACATTACAAGATTGTTGCCATGAGGAGTTGAAAGGTCTGACTTGCAAGCTTGTTTGCAGCCAGAATTATACAGTTTTTTTTCTTTCAGCCTTCAGCTGTGTAACATAACCCCTTCTATCAATATAACGCCGACCAATCTGTTTGGTTGTTCGAAAAAAGAAAACAATCAGCCACGCGCCATCATTCTCACGTCGTCCTCTGAACTGATCTACAGCTAGTATTGATATCCAAATCAAATTTACACTCCAGTTATAGTTATATTGTAACAACATTGTAGTAACCGTATTTACATGATAATCGAAGAATAATACTAGCATCCTTAAAATAATACGAGGAGGTAACATATTTTAGTGTAAAATTTGGTACTCTAAATACTAGTTACCCTATTTTGAAACCTACATATACTTTCTAATCTCAAGTACCGTAAAATTTCTTTTCCACCAAATGCATTTTTCCAAAAGAAAATGTCGAATATGTTAGAACCTAATACTAATTTTATTGTTCATTTGGCATGAATTACAAGATGCATGTACCTATATCTTGCCTAGTAAGCAAAATATCAAACATAACGCCGAGCACGCTTTGGAGCAGATTCATGTCATACACGGTCATGATGATCACGGATGGAGTAACTTCCAAAGGAGTGTTCATCAAGGCCTGTCTGTGGGACCTCCTGTTTTCGTGCCAGTTTGAGTCCTAATCAAGCGGAAAGCCCCTTGACGAGGAGCATGTTTGCCGGAAGCTACACGCAGTAGTATCCTGCCCACTTTGCTGCCCCTTTCGCAAAGGCACCCCCTCTACATTAGTAATTTATTGGCACACTACTTGTCACCTTAACCTCAGTGTTGTTTCACCTGCCACGCCAGCCGAACTCCCTCTCACGCTTTTTCCAGTGCCATCACAGGTAACATAATTGTTTACGTACTGGCTGCCAATTAAGTTAAGTCATCACTTTGCACGGGACAGACATGTATATATATAGCCATTTGGCCTCTTAAATCTTAATCTCTCCTTACACTCTGACGCACAAACTCAGGGGATTCATCAGATTATTGTAGTTATAGGTGGAGTACGACGCTGATACAGAGAGGTAATCAGCTCTTCTACTCATGAAATTATTTCTGCATGAGGACGTTATAGCCCTCTTCTTTCAGCAACAATCTTATACTGACTTATCATTATCGATCCCTTTTAATTTTCTAGTAGTTTAAGGTGACGGATTAGCTGCCGTGAAGGAATGGAGAGTGCCGTGCAGTTGCCGCAGTACATCTTCTTCGACCTCTCCGGCTCGCACCTCAGATGCTTCTGCCCACCAGCTCCGGTCATGGAGCACACCGGCGTACCGTACGACAGTCAGGTCGTCGGCTTGCAGGCGCTTCACCGGACACGGTTATCGCGGGCCGGCGGCAGCAGCACCATCGTCTCAGCTCGCCCGGCTAACCAGGTTGACAAGGCGATGGTGCTCTGTGATCGTGCTGCTCAAATCGGCGACGACGATGACGACCCCGACACCGTGTCGGACGCAGGCACGTCGGGCGTTGGGGTGGTGGATGAGGAGGAGACGGCCGGCGACGACGAGGAGGACGAGGTGGCGAGCTTGGATGAGCTCTTCTGCGACGAAAGAATCGTGAGGAAGATCGATGCACTGGCGCAGCTGGTGGGCATGGATGGCGCCGCCTGCCAGCCCGCCGCTGTGCTGGGTGAAGTCGTCCGTTTGATCCAGGAAACGGAGAGGAAGAATGGGCGTTGCGTTTGTGCTTCTGGGGCCGTTCGATCTTGATCGGACCGTTATGGGTTTTTTCTTGCTTATTATTTTTTTCTTGGCCTTTTTAGGGCTGTCACTAATGTTTCTTTAGGTTGGTTTGGTTTGAGGCCTATATTGGCCTTACCAATATTTGGCAATTTCAATAGTGTTTATTGTCTATTTTGTTTGGAGCCAAATTTTGGCATGCCTAAGAAAATAGGTCATTTCAACAGTTAATTTAGGCTATTTTGGCTTCAATCCAAACACAATTTTTCCTTTGCCAAAATTAGCCATGCCAAAAGTTACCAAAATTTGACATTGACAAAAATTGGTAAGGCCAATTTATGCCACAAACCAAACCAGACGTTTTTGCCGATAAGGCTGCCAGCCTGCCACTAATGTTGTTGGTTCAGGTTACTGTTTACAGTTTAAACGAATGTTTGTTGGAATAAGAAGTGTACCAAATGAACAAATTAATGCAACTTGAACCATACTCCCTCCATATAAGCTATATAACGCCATTGATTTTTTAAATAATATTTAACCATTTATTTATTTAAAAATTTAGTAAAAATATATAAAATTATAAGTTAATATTGTAGTTTTTTTCATGATAAAACAAGTCACAATGAAATAAATAATATTTATATATTTTTTAATAAAACAAATGGTTAAATGTTATGTGAAAAACCAATGATGACATCATATATTTTGTGACAAAGAAAGTACATATATAGCAAGTTTCAGCTTTCTTTTTCTTTAGAACTACTTAGCGAGTTTCATCTTCTCTAACTTTTTTTTGGAACTACTCAGCAAGTTTCACCTATGAGTGATGTGGAGGGAAATGTGAATGTAGTTCATGTCACTCTCCAGGAGATGGATTTTCATCTCTCGAGGGAATATTCTCTTTTCTTACATGTCATCTAAATAATCATTAAAATTCTTTTTTAAAAAAACAACATAGATTAACATGAAATATATTACTATATAAATATGCAAGATGAAATTCAACTTCTATAAATTACAATAAAAGAAACAAATTAAACTAAAAATAGTTAACGTACATTCACGGCTATATTTGTTTTTTAATAACTTGTAGAAGTTGAATTTGAACTTGTATGTTTCTGAAAGTTTGTAGAGTGATATTTTTCATATTAATATATCTCATTATTTTTTAAAAAAAATGGTACTACCTTTATTTCATGTTATAAGACTTTCTAGCATTGCCCACATTCATATAGATGTTAATGAATTTAGGCACACATATATGTCTAGATTCATTAACATATATATGAATGTGGGCAGTGCTAGAAAGTCTTATATATGAAACGGAGGAAGTAACTATTTAGGTGGTAGACAAGAAAAAAAAGGACATCACCTTGAGGAATAAAAACACTCTCCCGGCTCTCCACAAGCCTGTAAAATAGTGCGTAAAATTGTACAAGATTAAAACACTAGTTGTATTACATTGGCTTTATCCATATCCGTACTTTCTCTAAACACAACACTATCTTGCCCAGATTTTCCCTTTTTTGGGGGGCAAATACATCACGAGATTGAAAAATCGTAGCGAAAACATTCTCCTACTTTGCGGGCATAAGGCTGCTTCGTGGTGCCACTATCCCAAGTATACACTGTCAACACCGTGTCAAACGGCAAACGCGGTGGAGTGGTGGACGCAAAAGCACCACGCGCAACGCGCCACTACACACTGTCATCGTCGTGTCAAGCGGGAGAGGTGGATATCTTCTTATTTACATATCACTTAAATAGTAATAAAAATTTTTAAAAAAATTAAGATGATGTATTAACCTATGAAATATCACTCTACAAACATTTACAACTTAAAGTTTAACTTTAACATATAAAAAAAATATGATATATAGAAGTTTAATTTTAAGTTACATGTTTGTGAAGTGATACACTACATATTAATATATTTTTTATTTTTTTAAATAATTTAAATGACACGTAAATAATGAGGGAACATCCTCAGGAGTTAATAGTTTCCCGTTGACATGCAAAGCACCACGCGCGCGGGGTTCACGTATGCTCTTTTTTACTTGTGCATCTTCACCCACGCAGCCTTGCTCGGCACCCCCTTCGCCACCACGTACACCATGTAGTAACCCGGCGGCGCGAGCTCCGGCTTGGGCGGCGCGTCGACGGTGACCGTGTGCCGCTGCCCCTGCGCGGCGAACGCCGTGACGGGCAGTATCAGCAGCCGCTGGTTCATGGAGTACCCATGCGTCGTGAACGGCGGCGCGTACATGGTCACCTTGAAGTCGCCCTGCCCCACGCCCTGCGCGGGCGTCGTGAACCGGAACGTGAACCTGGCGCCGTACCGCATGCCGTCGCCGGGGACGGACGCCGCGTCGATCGCCGGCCGGTTGGGGGACAGCTGCGGGCTGAGGTACGGCGGGGTGAACCGCTCGACGCGCACCTCGGTCGGGAAGTCCACGCCGCTGAAGTTGTAGGCCGAGTTGGTGTTGCTGCCGGCCACGAGCACGGTGGCGTCGGGGAGAAGCGCGCTGGTGGAGTGGTACATCCGTGGGATGTTCGACGGGTTCAGAACGCGGAACCGCTTGCCCCGCCGCAGATACGGCGAGTACAGCACAGGGCTCAGCAACGCCTGCCGGCCGAACCCCCAGCCGGAGCAGCCCTTGGCGGCGCCGTTCAGCATGAGCAGGTCGCCGGTGGGCAGGATCAGCACGTCGCCCATGACGCGGCCCGAGGGCATCTGGTCGAGCGCCCACCGCGCCCCGGGTTTCGACGGGTTGATGCGCGCGCAGTCCCGGAGCGCGGGAGGGAACGTGCTGGTCTCCCCGAGCTTGAAGGCATTCTTGGTGGCGCCGCCGCAGATGATGACCTCCGCGCTAAGGCCGGCCCCTTTGCGGAGGTCCAGGGGCAGAAGCGTCGACATGGCGGAGGCAGGGTAGTTCCGGGAGCCGCCGGGGAGGATCGGAAGCTCGCGTACGACCTGCCCGGTCCTGTAGTTGAACACGATGGAGCGGTCGTTGGCGAAGATGAAGAGGGTCCCGTCCGGGAGGAGGTTGACGAAGGGGTACAGGTTGTTCTCCACGTCGTCGGTGGTGTCCCGGAGCAGACGCAAAGGCGTGGCCCTGGCGTTTGCCCGGCCGGCCGCCGGGACGAACTCGTAGCTGAACGCGCGTCGGCCGCCGATCACGATGAAACTGCCGTCCGGGAGCACCAGCTGCGTCCCGTACCTGCTCGATCTCGCGCGTAAAGCTAAAATGTCAATCCGTGTCGAGATTTGTAGTGTCAAAAATTACCGTTTCGATCTTGCTAATGTATGTACTACCATCTTCCGTCGGCAAGGCTCTTGGGAAACTCCTTCCAGTCGCAGGTGCCGCATGCGCTCAGGTACCTGACAGACTTGTCCCCTTCGAAGAAGCCGCCGGTCTGCACCATGTTGCCGTCGGCGTCGAACGCCCCCGACGAGCACCACGTGTCCGTCACGATCTGCAGCGTGCGTACGTGCCCGCGTCGTTGCGTCGTGACTCGTGAGCGGCAGCTGCAGCCAGCAGAGAACAATTGAGCATTTGAGCGGAGGAGTGCTTAACCTTGAGAGAGCGGAGCGCGCCGGTGTTGTAGTCGAACTCCACGGCGTGCGCCCAGCAGTCCATGGCGCCGGGCTGCTTGCTCCGGGGGTCAGGGCGGCATCTGCCCGGGGGCAGCCGCATCAGCGAACGTCCCGTCGTGCACGTGTCGAACATTATGGCCTTGCCGTGCTGCATGACCACCAGGTGCATGGCGGACACGCCGGAGTTCTCGCTCACCAGGTTCCACCCGCCAGCGAAGCCCGCGGAGGTGTCCACGGGGAGCTTCAGGCTGTCCAGAGCCACCTTGCTGGGCGCGGACCGAGGCGGCGCCTTCGAGAGCCCGCTACCGCCCGGGCCCGCGGCGCCGAGCTCCTGCTGCTCGCGGCGGAGGCCGCCTCCACGCGGCAGCGGCACCGCCTGCCCCTGCTTCCCCTGGAACGCGTTACGGTAGTAGTCGCTCTCGGAGCGCGTGCCGAAGATGTCGAGGACATCGTGGGAGCCGTCCGCCTCGCCGGCGGCGAGCAGCGCCGCGTAGACGACGGCGGCGCGGAGGAGGAGAGGCCACATCGTGGTGGGACGGACGATGTGCGTCGCGGAGGATGGCGTGGTGCGCGCCGCCCGTCACCTTCTCTAGTTCCATGGTGACCATCCCGGTCGCAAGCTTCTAATTCTCTAGCGGCTGTGCTTGTTTGCGCGCGCGGGGAGAGCACTGGAGAAACGTGACGACCTATTTCAAATATAGACGTTGTGATGATTTGTGACTCGTGAACGGCGTTGTGTTTCACGGCTTCGCGCCAACTACAGGACTACTACTGTATGTACAGAGGAGAAACCAATAGAGCCTGCGACTTTCACGGACCGGACCAAGGTTCTTAGACTTTATACTCTGATGAGAGGAGCCCATGTTGTAGCAAATATTATTGGGCTTTGAACCAAGATATGCGAGTTGCCACGGGCCGTGACACCGGGCCACAACGAGCACAAGCCCAAACCGGTCCGCCTCGGCATAACAGACACGCTCTCCCGGGTCCCGAACATATCGATCCCCATCTGGATCGCTCACGATCCCTCGCCAGCCGCCAGCCGCCAGCCGCCGGCCGCCGGCCGCTAGCCGGTGCTCATGTTCCATCGCGATCGAGAAAGGCGCGGATGATTGTCGCGTGCTTAAACTATTCTGAATAGTTTACAAATACTTTTATACACTTGGAAGTGTGAATGATAATACTACTGGCTATTTCTGTACCATTATATTACAAACGGTATCGAGCACGGTTCAAAGGTAACTCCCCACTATATATATAACTGGCGAATAGCTACTCGATCTCAAAACCTATGGGGTCAAGCCTTTGAAATCGGTGTTTTATATATGTATTTCAATGAAGATATAATTGTATTCCAAAAAATGTGAGAATATCCCACAATAAATGTGAGGTTTATAAACCTTCAGTGTCAGAATGGACTTTAGATTAATTTCTCGGGAAAAAATAGGACTACAGATAAGAAACTTGTAAGCTGCATATGGGAAAAAAATAATATGGAAATGCAGCTTTTAATGAAAGAAAACAAAGTATAACACTTGCATGTACAATCTATTTACATAATGACATATATTATATTTTATATCATTTGGTTGATCCATTTGGCTACTACATATATATGCATATGGACATTCGAAAATGATCGGGTCTGCACATACTTTTGATAATATTATATACGCATTGATCAACTAGCGCTTCCAATGGCTTGAACAACTCCAACTTGGTTGCATTCCTCCAACTACACCTAGTACGACGTACAGTGATTTGGTATACGTTGTACTACGGGAATAATGCAGGCACTGTGCAACTTACAGGGGCCGATGAGAGCAGTGATCAATCTAGCGCTAACTCCCAAAGTAAAGCCTTTTTGGCAGGTGGGAGATTTGCAGTTCAATATATCCAACTTGATGTGGCCATATAACATAACGTGCATGCCTGCATGCAGCCTCTGCCTCTTGTATGCCTAGTGGGTAGTACATACACGTATTAAATACTTCATCCGTTTCGTATTATAAGTTGTTTGATTTTTTTTAAGTGTGATTAAATTTATAGAAAAATACACTTAAACATATTATCAAAATATGTTTAATGTTAGATTTAATAAAACTAATTTGCTGTTGTAGATGTTTTTTTATAAATTTGGTTAAATCTAAAGAATTTTAATTTAAGGAAAGTCAAACAATTTATAATATGAAATGAGGGAGTATCATGTCTATCTCTCTAATTCGTCTCTATACGTACGTATGTGGAGAGATAAGAGTTTAGAGGTAGAGAGAGCTAAAGGGACGCTTTTGGCAGGAGGGTAAGCCATATATATATATATAATACTAGTAGTATATACCAGTTGGTAATAAGCATTGCAACTTGCAAGTTGCAAGAAGGCACAGCCTAATTCTTTTATCACTCAAAGATCGTCAGATTGCATATAATATGTGGAGCGCGACATATGCATGCGATGATGAACTGAAAAGGTCTGATTTGAATAGTACAATTTGGGATTTGTGTAGCTTTGCATCCGATCGAAGCCGATCCGGTCCTGAGGGGACAGCAAAGCCCCCTCATCATATGAAGTGTGTAGGAGTAGGATCTTTCCATGAAGATTCCTACACGCTTTGGATGGAGATTGAGAGGATCATCCGGTGTGATTATGTCGTATACTTAATTACATATTTTATTTGTTAATTATGACATCTATTATTGGCTTGCTTCAACCCAAATCAACTAACACACAAATAAGGCGTGCATTATGTGCTTGTGTGAAATTGTGATGTTGAAGATAACTTGTAGAATATCCCCCTCAACCAAAACGGTGTGATATTTTTGGCTCATTAAAGACATTATAAGATGCCACATTGATCACTAAATTTCATTCGTACAAATTTAATCATGCCATTTTCAAATATGATCACTTTATGTTGTACATGCAATGATTTTCAACGCATATTGAAGACCACCATCACCGCCAGCTAGTGTGGTTTTATGTTCTCTTTTCACATGGAGAAATTTGAGAAAAAAAAATGTTGCAACACATGAAAACAAAAGAATATGAGTGTGGTATGTATTTGGGGGTATATATAATGATTAATTTGACCTTTCGATTGGTACTTTTGAAGAACAGAATCTTTTGATGATATTACACAATTGTGTGAAACAATAAGTATGTATACCGTAATGTATATATAATGAGAGAGCATAGGAATGGGAACTTGGTACCTGTAATACTAGTCCATATGTATATGCATTTATCAACTCATTGCACTGAAACTTTCAATTTAAGTCAGCAAAGATAACCTATGCATAATTTTAAGTTCAATAATATTTGTAGGTAACACTAGATTTTAAGAGTTATATCGCTAGCTTTCTGCATGCTGCACCTACATATCTAAAGAGTAGGACTGATGAAATGTATATATATTGTACTATTTTAACATGAACCATGATCAACATTGTATCCCTCTAGCTAGTAATATCTGCATTTTGGACATCGACATAATAGTTTTCCAACAACTGCAACTTTGACTACTAATTTCTATATGTTGTAAGCAATTGTAAAATCCATTAAAATTTATTATTACAGTAGAACTTTTTTAGTACAAATTCACGTGTATAATTTTTATTTATCTGATATGATTATTCGAAAATATATTGATTAGTCAAAGTTTTGAAAGTTTGCCAAAAACTTGTCCATAATGATAGGTATTTGTACACATGCATCATCATATGGAGTAGTAAAATCATTGACACACCGCTTTTTTTTCCGAATTTAATTTGGTGCAGACATATGCAAAACTAGGACTAAAATTCATCACACTACTTGATGAGAAAAATTATGACCCAGAGGGAGATTGTTTTATTTTATTGGAACATAGGAAACGATGAGGATTATGGGTACTTCAGTATTTTGCTCAAAGGCATTTATATATACGTCTGCTTATAGCTTCTCAAACTGATCATATACAGTAGACATTGCAGAGTGATTCAATTATATATTTCCATATTGTTTTACGACAAACTAGCTAGTATATTGATATATTGTACGTAGAGGAATCATACCCTTACTGTAGAGTTAATTAACCGAGCTGGAGTACACCATACTTGCCGAGACTAGTACTGATCCAGGCCACTTGCATTAATTACATATGATCTACACAAGAGATTGAAGTTCAGAGAACTATATATATGACAGTGCCATACGACACATATATATATTGCAGTGTTTAAATATATGCATGTACATGGACTAGCTAGCTTCACCAAGCTAGTAATGTCAAATCTTAAAGCACTCTCGATTAAGCATGCATGCAGACTTGCAAACTGCACACGCATGATTAATTAGAAGGCATGTATATACACTATACGCCCACGGGCTAGAAAAGTGTACAACATGTCAGCTTTCATTGCTTCATCATACGTACAATGCATTATGCATGCATGGAGATAAAGAGCATGATCATCCACCAGGCAGACAACACACAGACACACATGCATGCAGAGATAGAGATCTTCTTATGATTATACAGATAACCAAACTAATAATGGAACTGCTGACACAAGCTGGATTAGAAGTAGTACAGAAAGACAGCTGTGTCTGAGATAGTACAAGATAAATTAAGTGGTTATTCTATGCCCATCTTGTGCTTCTGGATCAAAAATATTCTGGCATGCAAGTGTGTGTCTCATACACATTTGAACATTCTCTCTGATCTCAGCAGTGATGAAAATTGCATAGCATAAATTATGAACTGTGTCAGTGTATACTTGCAGTTGCAGGCAAGGGTCAACACATCTATGCTCCACACCAGTACAATCAAAACGACTGCTATAGATATCAGCAGAGATTCCCATACCCATAACGTCTTGTTTAAAAAAAATGTGCATCACTATTCCTTTCTTCTTGTGCGCATTACAGCACAGAAGATGGCAAATCTTTTGGTTCTAGCTAGTGGCACCAATTAAGAAACTTATTGCACCACAAGGAAAAAAACCATCAAGACTAAAATTAAGAAATTAACTATCCCTCGCAGCAGATGGTGGCAGGGAAGAGAGAGAGAGGAAGCTGGGGAGGAAGAAACATCTTAGGATATATCATAGCTTGAGCTCGAGGTCCACATCTTGCGGATCGTCAGAGTTCATACTTGTCGAATCTGCCGATCGGCTTCGGTCATGGTGTCCCCTCAAGCGAGCAGACTCCTGAAACAAAATCAATGTTTAAGCAACCACGCACTAATGCATTTATATACAGAAAACTGCATAACACTTGGGTCAATAATGCTTCAGTTCAGCTGCTTAAATCTGCCTTTAAAACTTATGGTTTATGTACATACCTCTGGTTCAAAGAGTGGCAATGTGATGCTAGGATTATGTGTGTAATGTGGGGCACCATAGATAGTACTGCTGCTTGGTGATCTGGTTGCAATATAATGCAATGGGAAAATATTCAGTATTAATTAGAGCTCGGTCACAAAAAACATAATGCAAATGAATTGTAATAATATATCTTGTAAGGTTACTGAAACTGATCTAGCTGATCATATATGTGTGTGCTACCTCATGATGGGAGTTTGGAATTCACCGTATCGTACGTCTCCTCGTTCTCCATATGCCATCTACACATGATAAAGTCGGCATAACATAAGAGATTTTTCTCAGCATGAAGTTCACACGCATGGAAATGGAACACTGATTGGTAGTTATATATATAATTCATACAGTACTAGCTAGTGACTACTACTGCTAGTAGACGGCAAGCACCCAACCAGATGATTTTTGAAAAAAAATCATCACGTATACTGGTTCTTATAATTGAAATAGTAGGAAACGTTTTCTTGAGAAACTTTACAGACAAAAAGAGAACATGATGATGGACAAGTAACAAATAACAAATAATGAAGAGGAAAAATTATACATGCGCGTATATGTAGAGCTAACGAAAACAGTGCAGCAAAGATCAAACATAAACATGTTTTTCAGGGAAAACAAAAACAAAACAAAATTAACGAGGGCTAATTTTCTCGCACTAGTAACTTCTTATGTAGTTGAGCCCAAAAATAAAATCTCCTGTTTTTACTGAACAAATTAAGAAGAAACAATTTTCTCCCATGTGTGGCACATAGTTATTAGTACATGAAACCGCAAGTCATCCAAAGAAAAATTCACTAAAACTTTCGCTCATATGTGATAGCTATCTCTCAATTTTTTAGATGCCAAATTCTTCCTGAAACAATTAGTATACATGCAGAACTCAGAGAAGTTTGTCCATGTACCGCAAGATTTGGATGGATTGGGAACGGAGACGAGCTAACGGCGGTAGCATGGAAGGGAGACGATGGGGACGACGACAGCGAGGATGTGGACGCCCGTGCATCCTCCTGCTCGATCGATCCATGCCAAAAACCACAAGAAATTAGAAACGCCTAATTCTCTCTAGAATGGCCACACAGGAAAGACGAAATAGATGCATATACTCTATGTTAGCAGCATATGTATATGCATCGATCCCTTGACTTACCAAGTTAAGGCTGCCGGTTCTGTGGATCAAGCTTCCCGGCTGGCCAAGAGGGTTGAAGTACTCGGCCATTTCGCTCTGTAACCTGATCTTCTCCAGCTGCGCCACCCCGAGCCCTCGTTGCGGCTGCTTCGGCTTATCCGCGCCGCCACTGCCGCCGCCTCTCTTGCCCTTCCTGGAGGAGCCGGCCGGCGACGACCTCCCGCTGTTGCCCCATCCCATGCTGTCTCCAAAGTTGCTCCCACTCATGTCCAAGAAGAAGAAGACCTAGCTAGCTTGCCAGGAGGAAGACTTGGAAGGACAAGATGAACAAGCTAGAAGGGGAGGACAAGGAAGGGAAGAGAGAGAGAGAGAGAGAGAGAGAGAGAGAGAGAGAGAGAGAGGAGAGTGATTGGATGAAGCACAAAACCCTTTTAAAATGAAAGGGAGAGATCTCCTTGCAGGGGCAATATATCCCCCTCTCTTTATTAAAGGGAGACTTGCCCAAGCTTTTCTTGCCACAAGTTTTAAATTGCAACAAGTGTCATGGCCAACGTTAGATTATAGTTAACACCATGTGCCACAAATTAAACCGTATCGCTTGAAACAAAAATCAGAGAAAATTAAATTTGGTAATTCGTTTTAATTCGGTAGGTGGTGATCTCCTAGGATCTTTGCCATCAAAACAACACTTATTTTTTCCTCTGAAATATGTGATCAGAGAGCTGTCACCATACCTATTCTGAGGGAAATAAAAGGACTTAATTAGCAGGATGTTAAATGATTTTTATATTTTGTTTGTTCGTAGCTCATGTACGTACACTACAAATTTAGTGGACAGAAATTTCTTTTTATGTGGTGGGTAAAGTTGTGAATGTGTAACACTACCTACTAAAGTTCAAATCCGGGTGGAAAAAATAAACGGCCGTTATATTCATACACTACCACATAATGTGCTATCATTGTTGGTTCTATGTGAATGTGACAGTGATAGAGTAACACTGCTAACTAGCTCGCACAGACTATCCTACTGGTTTATTAGTAGGACTGTCTGTCCCATGCCCCGATCATCTAGGTCGAGCGTTTTTTTTAAATTTCCAGACAGATATCATTGCCGGTTCTTGACACCGGTTGGCAGTAATAAGCAATGCCCTACCGTTACCTGGCTGTGCTATCACTATTGGTTCTAGGTGTGAATCGATTGACATGCAGTGAGATACCTTTTCATTATCGGTAAAAAAATACTAACAATATTGCTCGCAGGGAACACTGTCAGTAACCCCTTGCCGGCAGGGAAACTGGCAATGATTGGTCCCATGAATTGGCAGTGTTCGATCTATGGTAGTGATTAAGAAGAATGTAATTTAGCAACACATGTTAATTTGTGCAAACAAGTCTTTCTTGCATTATGCAAGAACACACGTGGCTAGAAGTACCACCCTTCTTACAAACACTAATGTAATTAATCTTCTTAACTTAATGAGAGGAGAGCTCTCTGTTCTCAAAAAAACAAAAGAGAGAGAGCTGTCACCAGGGTTATTATTGTACTTACGCGATTAATTTACGTGTAGAAACTATATATCATATTCACTCACCATTCAATACTATCGTGTATAGATATTGACCAAGGAAATCTAGCAAATTGAGGATTCCTACTTGATGAATCTGTTAGCTTGCTATCTCTCCCACCCCCATAAGTGTGTCACATATATTATCCTGCTGATATATAGGTACCTTATCCTAGAATATTCCTCAGGCAGTAGTGTGTGGATTCAAGTGTGTGCATGGCACAAAAATGCTGTATTATTTGAGCCAGGTTGATTGATTCAAATTATGAATTGTGCAACCATTTATATTTTTGGAAAATAAAAGGAGTCAATTATTGTTTTAATTTAATGAAATAATTCATGTCATGATGATAAAAATGTCAAACAAAAGGACCGGGGCCAATGAAAGGGAATGCATATGGGCCCTTTGTACCTCTAGCTGGGGGTGCAAACTCTGGTGGCATGTAAGAAAATGAAAGGGATGGCATGGGGGTCGCTATATGTATTTGGCAGCGTCCATGCCTTTTGTCGCATAGTTATCAAATCACCCTGCTCACGTTAGTTCCGGTGTACTAATTAAGTGCTCAGTACTTAATGGACATCTTCTCAGGGCACAGTTACACAAAATACAGTCGTTTTGCGCCGCTAGCTACTTCCTCCGTTCCATAAAACTTATCATTCTAAATTGTTTAGCATATATTAAGGGGAGAAAAAAACTATAATATCCTTAATAAATAATACTCCATCCATCTATTTTTGTTAGTCATATTTCTAAATCTGAAATTTATTTTTGATAGGCATATTTTAATTCAACAACCTATCATTTTAATGGCTTTCTCGAATTTAATGTATGACTCTCCATTCTTCCACACATGATTGGCTACATGGGTATTGAGAAATGTAAATATTAATGAATCGCATGTTTACGAGGAATAACTAGTAGCATGTTTAAATGGATGATAAGTACAATTACTTATCCTTGGTCTGTGTGCCAAGATGAAATATGACTATCAAAAATAGATGGAGGGAGTATAGAGTTAGATATAGGATGGTGGTTAGGAGTAGAATGGTGGTTAGGGGTAAAATGGGGAAAATTTTGAATTGAAAATGATTGTGTGACAAGTAGTACTCCAAAGTGATACTCCCTTCGTCCCAAAATAAGTACAGTCTTGGTTTTCCGCGTTCAATTTTAACCATTCGTCTTATTTAAAAATTTTTTGAAAAGAAAAACATAAGTCAAGAGTAAAGTACTATTCATGTTTTATCATCTCATAACAACAAAAATGCTAATTATAAAAAAATTTCAAATAAGACAGACGATTAAAGTTGGACGTGGAATCTCATGGCTGCACTTATTTTGGGACGGAGGTAGTACTATTTTTGAATAACTTTTGAATACTAGAACTACTACATTCGTCTTAAAATATAACAGCTTTTGGCTATAAATCTGGATATATTGTCCAGATTTATAGCTAAAAATGCTTATATTTTAGGACGGCAGGAGTAGAAGATAAGTATTGTGGGATGAATAAAGTAGCTAGAACGACTTAAATATGAGATTAATTTCCAGCTAGCTAACAGTAAGAGAAGAGGCCTCTGGCTTTGTAATTAAGCTACTGTCCATCCGTTAAAAAAGAAACCAACCTTTGAAAATAAATCCAGATAAATGTCCTTAAAAATTGATTTTAATTTCCTGAGGACGAAGGGTAGCTAGGCAGCTAGCTAGCCGACCGGGCAGAATGCCCTTTGAGCCAACGATGACACATACGTTGGTATGTAGTACTCCCTCTTGTAATACTCTCTCTGTCGCATAATATAAATAAATTAAGATAAAATGTAACGTTTTATAGTACAACAAAACTGAACAGGCTTCCTGTCTAAATTTTTTGGATCATGAAAGATCACATCCAGTTCTAAGTTATTATATTATGGGACGGATGGAGTAACAAACGAATCTACAATTGAATATGGCATATCTTGGTATTAGAATACGTCACATCTAGTACAACGTTGGTTTTTTTAGGATGGAGGGAGTACTAGTTAGCCACACTTAGGCCAAATTAATTTCGCCCCTTGTTTTACATTTTTTAAATGCCTCCTGTCGTATTTTTTTCCACATGATGGCCAAATCAATACGGTACGTATTAGAGTTAGCTTCACTGCTTATTAGGAAACGCTAATCAAGCACTGAACTAAATCAGGTTATTTTAATACTCTCCATATTCCAAATTAATCTACATATTTCATAGGTACACCAAAACCAAAAAAAATTAATAACTCTCTCATACTATATTTACTCTAACAACAAACTCGATGCATACATCATCCCTACTATTTCCTAACCAATAGCAAATCAAGATATTGTGCATGGATGCATGCATCAATGGTCATTTACTCCAATGCACAAATAACGAATAGACTTAATGAATGAACACAAATATGTAGATCATTTAGAAATAACCTAAAAAAATTATATGTAGATCAATTTAGAATGGAGGGAGTATTGGCCCACTCCTGTGATTTGGGTGGCCGGGCTGACTACTTGGCTCGTTCCTGTTTGCACCGCCTACGTACGCTAGACACAGCTAGATACTGTAGCTAGTGTGCCTCAGCTCGCGTGGTTTGCATTGCAGCGCCAGCTAGCCGAGCACGTACGTACGTACACTACACCACCAACTCGATCAAATATTGCTGAGGTTGTTGGAGCGAGCGAACCGCCAACTCAACTCCGGCCTGTGTGAGTGTGTTTTGAGATTTGGGTGGGGATCGCGATTCGCGAGCGCAAAGCTAAACAAAGCCGCTCGCTCCGACACGGAGGGTGGGGAGCAGAAAAACGAGCCCCGGCCCGCGGGGCGCGTACGTATTTTATACTCGAGGCGTATAGGCGCGCGCATAAACAAACCAACCGGCGGGATCGGCTTTCGGTACGTACAACTCAGAGGGGATCTACCCGGGGATTTGGGCGCGATTTCGCCGTGTCGGAGAGCGATCTCGCGATTCGCTCGATCTCTCCCTGCCACCGTCCGAAGCTTCGCTGGCGCCCCCGCGCACGCAGCCTCCCACCACCTGCACACCTCCCACCCCACCTGCACACGCGGGCGTTCGGCAGCTTGTCATGCGTGCCTAGCTAGCTACCCACCGGCTTTGGGTTTTCGGACTCCGGCACGTGGACCACCTATAGATCGATATGCCGGCCTCAGCAGGCACGCGACTGGTCGGGCTTAAGCTTGTTTGCTCGAGTAGCTCTGAATGTGTACGTGAGTGGCTGTGTCCGTGCGCGCGGCTGGGCTGGTTCTTTTGCGCGACAAAGGTACAGATCATCAGTTCGGTCAGAAGTACGCGCGCCGATATATGCTCTTCGTTCTTTTAATTTGCTCGCGCACTTGTGTTCGGAATATTGTAGGTTCGCTTCTTTTCCATAGATTCTGATCATCAGAGAGCCTCGCAGGGTACTCCGTCCGTCCTATTTTAAGTGCAACTATAAGTTTTCGTGCCAAAAACTTTAATCGTCTGTCTTATTTGAAATGTTTTTATAATTAGTATTTTTATTGTTATGAGATGATAAATAAGATAGACGATCAAAATTGGGCACGGAAAATCATGGCTGCACTTAAATGGGACGGATAGAGTATATACATATCGGGTGTGTGTGTGTGTGTGTATATATATATATATATTGCCAATCCTAACGTATATATGTGTATACACGAATGCACCTTCAACATCCGAAATGGATAATATAAACAAAAAACCAGATCCGGTTAATTAGTTCGTATAAGTTGGAACAAATTGCTAAATACTACAGATCGGCCAGAAACATGTTGATACGAATATGAATATAGATAGAAAATGTAGCGGAATGCGAATTTAGGCTAAAAAAGAATGCGGCCTGAAA